TTATATCGCTATATTGCTAACTTCTTATGCAAATATAGTGATTTTTTAGTCGGTGAGTGAGTGTCTGCAAACCTCTAATCTGCAGAACACCAAGCTCCTTAAATTCATGACAAATATTATCAAACTTTCGTATTACGCAAGAAAACCTGACTCACGATTTTGCGGGCTTGTGATAATTATATCTCTGTCTGTACCACGTTTAATTTTTCTCGTCGCACAAAATAATACCATCTGTAATACCACAAATGTGATTCTCAAATGTATATTTGGAAAACAAAAGTGTCTACAAGTTTTTACATCGTACTAATTATGCGTTTTTCCCAAAAGCGATTTTTTAGCCGATACGAATTGATGTTCAGCTATCAAGCGGAAAATGTTAAATGTTTAGGGAGTGTGACTGATGATCTTAAAATAGTGCCCGTTAGGTGTAGAGTTAAATCGTAATCGTCAAAATGTTTTCACAAGAGTCACCAATGTCAAGGAGCTCAGGCAGTTCTTGAAAATCGTTTGACAAGAAGGAAATGGACTGGATCAAAATTTAATTTCCTGAATTTTCTCAAGGCACTGCCAATGATAAATACGCAAATAGCTGGAAAACCATTACCTAATTGGAAAAACAGTATAGAAATCTTGTTAGGTATTTTGATATCAGGATTTTGTTTTCAATCAGTTTTTAACCATCGCCTTACCTACCCCTATGGCTGAGCATCCCCAATCCCCTATATCTTACTAATTGTGCTACATTGTTATGTCTGTAACACTCAAGTCTTTTAACTACATCCCTGCAGTATCTAAAACCTGGAAACCATCTCGAGAAAATGTCGACTGGTCCCAAAGCTATTCCCCCGGGCTGCGCCAAGTGCCGCCGCCACCATTTCGACTGCATCCCCCCTTTTCTCCTACTATCCCCCCTTTTCAGAGTCCACAACCTTATTCCCCCACCCTTTCCCCCCATTGGAGTGAGGAGCGGCAGGCGCTATTGCGCCATCGCAACTTCTTCAGGATTTAAATCTCCCGTATAATTTTCAGCTAAGATTACCTTATCTTCGGATTCTACTGCCATGCTCGAGTGTTTTTATTACTTTGTAGCCAGCTCCGAATATGCTTTTCTTCTGCTGGAATTTGCCGCTACTGCTCCTGCTCGAGTACCGGGATGAAAGTGGAAAATGCTGGTTTTTCCGCGAATCCCAGCAATTTAGGTTGTGGAAGAAATTTAATCAGATGAAGCGACATCCAAATTTTATAAGAGATCCTTATATTCAAAATAGAATGAGCTACAGCATTCAGATTATGCACTCTTCCAGATCCCAGACCTATACGACGGGATGTTTGGTTGAACTCCTAAAACTCATTCTGTGGATGCCAAGCCAAATTGTCTCCATGTTTTACCTCCCACGCCTACTGGCGAGAAAGTATTGAAATCACCCAACAATAGGAAAATGAGACATTATGGTTTTTGGGTGTTATAGGTGTATATAATAATAATAATAATAGTAATAATAATAATAATAATTAGCCGTTATTGGCAGAGTTTAGCAAATGCAATTCTTACTCTTACTAAGACTAAAGCTTAATACTAATCTGACATACATATATGATATTTTTACATATATATAGTATACGATTTTATTTGCAGGTTCTGCTATTTTTGGTAAAAATAATAAATGTTAAAGAATCACCAGCTACTTTAGCAGCGTTTGTGTGAGCAAAAATATCGTTCTTACATTCCTACTCGCTGACAAGTTGTACAGATTTGTTCTTCGCGTCCGTTGCCAGCTCCCGGGGGTTCTTTCTTCGTTTTTGCCTTTTTGTGTTTCACCGCCTTTTCATTTGCCTCTTTATTGTTTTTTTTTATTTTGTTTAAGGATTTTTAGGGTGTTCAGTGCTTTCCCGCATGGACTGTATTAAAGGGTACAATGTATCGGTTTTATAATCGAGAGACTGACCTTTTGCGCCATATCTCTATATTGTAGAATTTCCTTTGTTTATAATGTTTATTCATGACGAGATAAATATTTTGAATTTGAATTTGAATATATGATATTTTTACATATACAGTAAACGATTTTATGGTTATGAATCTCTAAACTTAAGAAAATAATGGTATGGATCACATGGTTTCAAACCAAAGGTATTAAACATCGGTCGGACGCGGATCAGCGTCGTTCGCAGTGAACGTGTTAACTGACTGATCTTATACTGCATTTCTAGGAGATGAAGCTGAGATCTAGTTTGAAATCGATGCTATTACTATTTGCAGGATCAATATGCATGAATGGCCTATGAAAGAGTGTTGTTACATAAATCAGCTTTGCAAAATCGTTTTGATATCTTATATTGACATTATGTGTATTTAACCTAGGGACTAGCTTTTCTACTAAATACACAGTGTTCTTACAATGTAATATACGATTCAGTGTTGTTAAGTAAAAATATTTTTTATTAGTACTTATTTCACACATCGTAGATTTCCCTGTACCTCTGCCCATAAAACTGAGAGATACATACAGACGGGACATGCGGACGGTCGGGACGATGGCAATCTTCATGCGCCAGACTCTGCGTGCGGCTGACTGAATCAACGGCGTTCTCGATCTCGAATTATTGTATTGTCTGGCGCTTATGGCGTGGTTGACTGGCGTGGTTCAGCACCGTTGCCAGATGTTCGATACTTAGGGCATGGAAGAAACTAGCGTTAGCGTCATTGAATGTGTGGGGACTATGGAGTATGGATTAATGAATACATGTTTGTATCTAGATAGCTCAGAAGCACTAACTTGTGCCGAACCTTTATGAAGTAATGACACCATTGCCTGGGAAGCGCAGAGTCAAGCTACTTGACGGCATTTTTTCTTACCCAAGCATTGGTGAAAGTCAAAAAATTTACGGCCGGCCGAACGTTTTTTCATCTACATAAGTGTCTCATATATCGGTCCTAAAAACACTAAAATACGAATACAGCATCTAAGTTCATTCTTCTACAAGAAAATGGCATCAAGTTGCTTGACTATCCGCTTCCCACGCAGCGTTGTCAACAATTCGTAAAGGATTGTTTTATTATAATAAATAAAATTAACTACGAACATGTATAACACAAAAAACAGACTTAAATGGATCAAGTCAGTCAAACAGGCTCATAAAATAATTCCATAGTCATACCCGTTCTTCTTCCCCGCCCTTACTGAAAGTATCGACCATCTGGCAACGTCAGTCTTACTCTGCTGGCTAACTCGAGCAGTGTAGTGGTAAATGATTAGGCGCCAGGCGCAAACAGGACTTTATGGACACGCACCACTGTGTGTTCGTAGCGTACAGAATGTACGACCTAAACGCGACTAATAAGTAGAATTAGCGGGGCTGGAAGCGTATTAATATAGGTACTTCCGTCAAAAAATTGATAATTGAGATATATCCCAACCCCCAGTTTTTTGGCCTACAATTATTTCCGAAGCTGATCAGGAGCCTCTGAAATGTCAAAAAACGAAGTTCGAGTAATCATTATTTTCTTCGCCTCGTCCTTGGCACAGTAGTAACCCTGTGTGAAAATTATTCCAAATCCTTGTAGTATTTTCCAAATTATTAAAAAGACCAAGGGTTAGCGTACAGATCGGCAGACAGACCGACGTAGATGAGTGACGTGTTACTTTGTGATGTACCTACATGTCATATAACATCCAAAAAACGTAGTATTTCATTTTCGACATTTTTCGCGGTTATATTACTCCCACGCTAGTGCAGTGGTGTAGAAAGTAAAAATATTATAGAATTTAAGGCACTCTGCGACACGCAAGATAGCTGCAGCAAGTTTGGATCTAGAAAAAATAAAAAACAGTTTTACATGTTTATAGCTAAGGAAATACGAAGGGGATTTTGAAAGTATTGATTTTTGTGAGGTTGGCGAGCATTTGAATTAAAACGTACAATTTTCGACGAAAAGCATGGTAATAATTTCTTAATAAATAACGATTGAATTAACTTATTAAAAATCCCCACGTTTGTATTTCTCTATAGTAAAAATCTTGGAAAGAATGACAATTTTTCGAGTTATGCTGCTTTTGAAAAATGGCGTTTCGAGAAAAACGCATCGTTGCTGCCATTTTTAATATTTTGTTATGGCAATTTTCTTTTTGGTTACTATATTATCTGCTCAATAACTTCCCCTAATATTATTATTTAACTACCAATTATTCCACAAAAAGATGTATAAGCTGCGACGCCATAAGGCAATAACCATAATCTATAAATCTCTCTCCATTTTGGTTAGAAAAGGTTAACACCCGTCAATCATAGGATATTTGTAATGAACACAGTGGCCTCTATCCACAGCTAAAATATCTCCCCTCACCAATGAAACATGTAAATGTAAACTTGTTGAATAGATAGCTGATAGTGTGCAAATAGTTCATTCCGTGCCTGCTACAAGTGAGCATGAAGTGAACGACAGCTAGTTCCTAGTTAACATCTTGCAGGAAGACCCACATAATGTCATTTTCAAGTTACTTAATCATCAATCACATTATGTAGGGTGTTGGCACGTGCTGGTAACTTTAAGCGGAACTTGTCAGCATTTTCAATTCAAGCTCATGTTTTAACAGTTCCAAACCCATCCATTAGGTTAGTAGTCACATCGGTAAACCAGGAACTAGATACTTTCTAAGATAATGGCGCTACGAATTACTATAATCTGTATAATTGACTTCTAATATGACCAAAACAAACACAAAAAATTTTCTAGGTATACTGAGTGCAGCACCTGATATTATAACAATTTACACATTCAGGCCGTATTTATAGAGCTCAACTTTTCCATAGAAGAAAAGGTAGATACTTACTAATGTCAATTGCAACATATTAGCGGTAGTGTAGAAAAAAGCAAACACGTATCAAGGCGTATATAAAACATTTTTTTGTATGTTCTCATTTCATTTTTAAATGCTTTACAGTTGCAAGACGTATTTGAACAGTTTTTTGTTGAAGATTTTTAATTGTGGTTTCCTTCCTAGGTATGTGTATTTAAACAACACTAGCCGACCATGAACCGACTGTTTACGGCAATGAACTTAGATGCCAATCTCTATATCACAAAACGTCAACTGTCACTGTCAAAGACGTCTGAAGAAGATGCTAACCTCAATCTACGTTATTGACGTTTCAGTTTGAAGTATTTTGAATAATTTAAAAAAATAGATGTAAGCAAATGAACATCCGCGAAAATGTCTTACAATAGTAGTGTAAACATATCTGTTGAGGCACCCATAGAAAACCAAATACAAGAAATCACGTACGATGGCACAGAAATCTACCAACCGTAAGTCGGAAAATGTAAATATTTGTGTCTTTTAGCATATTTAATATTGTTTATTTTGCAGCCCTCTGACCTTATCAGAGAGCCTCGCTAAATATGCTCAGAAAATAGACTTCAGCAAAACAACAGAGGTAGACATAAAGAAAGAGGAAGCTGAAGAGGCTAAAAGCGATGCAGACAATAAAGATGCATTGCAATCATCTTTATGGCCGTGGGATTCCGCTAGAAACAAATTAAGAAGCGCTCTACAAGAGGTTTGTGTATTAGCAGATGTTCTTGCTATAGCCAAGGATAAAAGGTATTTGATCCTAGATTCTGTGCAACAAGAACCTTTAGAAACCAAACCTATGGTACAGATATATGCAAGAAAGAAAGCATTACAAGGTATGTTTGATACACAAATCTCTTTTTGTATTATGTTCCCCAGAGATCTTGCTTTTATTGGTTTATATCCAAATCACTTTTAACAAATACAGAAATATTTCCTTTATGTGTGGGATACAATATAGTCTAGGTTACTGCTGATAATAATTATCTTTTATTTATATAACCATACACACATATCTCTAAATATGGAGTTCTTGTGGTATAAACTTCAGTCATGTATGTTAATTTAATAACTGTTTTAGGTGCTGCAAATGTTCTTCTGACTGGTGCGGAAAAATTAAAGACATCTCAAAATGAGGCAGCTAGAAATCGGGCTACACTAGATTTCCATATAGAGCTATTGAGGTTAAGGCAAAACTGGAGGTTGAAGAAAGTATCCAATACAATAATTGGTGATCTTAGTTATAGAACTGCTGGTTCTAAGTATTTACAAACAGGCATGTACCTTAAAATGTTTTTCTTGAAAGTACAGATGAAAATGTACAATATGTGGATGCTGATCAGGATTTGGTCAGGCTCACACCTGTGGATGTGTAATTAAAGATTTTCTAAATTTTGTAGAAATTAGAATTTAAAAAGATTTACCACACGTGACAACTTTGTAGTTTCAAATTTAGGCAACTATTATATCTCCACAAGCAACTGTATACCATTGTGTTTGCCATGAGATTATCTTTATTTTAATACATAATTTTATTGTTTTGATTGATTATTCAGTAAGAATACAAAAAATCTAATGTTTAATTAAAAATAGGTAAGATTTCTTTACACATCTTGCCTACTTTTTTTATCGCCATCACATTGCTGAAGCTTGGAGCTTAATAAAGATATATATATATATATATAAGTATATATATATTGCTAAAGTTAAAAATTGGAGGGTTATATTTAATGAAAAGCAGTATCACCACATTTTAGGTTCATATCTGCATTACTGACCAACTATTAATTTGGAATACTGGTTGGTGGTGGTCATAAAAATCTGAGTGTTAGAATTTTAGAATGATCTTATGGCTGTCTCTCTGACTTGTTTGCATATCTACTCACCTTGCAAACAACATGTATTATGAGATTTGGTCAGAAGAAATAATATTCAAATATTTGACTGATGATTAATGTGAAATTTCCAGGTACATTTGAAGTGACCAAAGCTGAAGATGAGGAAAAACCTGGTAGTCCTCCTACTAGTCCTTTGCCAGCTGGATCAGCTCCAAGTAAGCCAGCTAGTGCTTTGAGAGTATCGATCCCATCAGAGCTACAAGGTGTAGCTTACATTGAGGTGCTATGTCAAAAAGGTATTTATACAATTTCTGTGGTGCTTCACCAATGTTGATGTGCTTTGCATTTTTATAATATGGTTATGCCAAAACTTTTGAAAATTTACAGATCAAGAAGACTTGTGCAGTGCAAATATAAACCTCTTAGGATCTGGACCTCCTCCATCAAACCCTGATATGCATTGGCAGCAGAAGCTTGAAGCAGCACAAAATGTGCTGTTTTGTAAAGAACTGTTTAACCAACTTGCTAAAGAAGCAGTACAATTGCAAGCACCCGTACCACACATGGTGGTTGGCAACCAGATTATGGCCACAGTATTACCTGGAATCCAGCTGATCATAGGGTAATATTGCCATATTGAAATACCGACTAGTGTTTATCTGAAAGCTAAGGAAATATTCTTGATACTATGCCTGAACCGGGAGATATTGAAAAAACGTTGGTCATCTTTTTGTATACCCAAAACAGTAGACTGCTAAATACTTTCAGCCTAAGTCAGGAACTTATTCAAATTCTTCTTCAGAATGTATATAAGCCCTATTTTTTGTTAATATATATTGATGTCAACACACAGAACAATGGTATCACAGGGCCTAAGATCAGGCCCTTAAATTGTACTTGTTTCGTTTTTCAAAAAACTTTCCAACCCTCCATAATTAAAAATCATTTTATGTGAATGTCTTGTGTGAGCATATAAACGTATGAGAATAAACCTTTTTTGACTAATTTTATTTAATTTGCTGACTGAATTACAAAACACGGTTCAATTTCTATGTGAACTTATTTGCCTTTAATAAATTGTTTATAATTTATATATACTGAAAACCAAATACCACTGACGTCATAATGTGTACGAGAGAGAAGCGTGCAATACGTGTGCTAGAAACAGATAGAAGCATTCGTTGCTTATCAACCTGAGTACGAGGTCACAGATGCCATCGGCGCACTCTTTCTAACATACATATTGCACGCTTCTCTCTCGTGCACATTACGACGTCAGCCAAACTTGAACCTCACTGTAGATTGTGTCATTCAACAACTGGTGACAAGAAGCAACCAAATCCTCCGCCGGCAAAAAGCGAGCATGATCATGTGTTGGAACATTCCCTTCATCAACTTTTGCGGGAAGTGCACCATAGAAATACTCACCATCCATTTCCACATCCAGCAACTGGCCCTTTGGGACCATCTAAAAAGCGAATGATGGCTGGTAAGGATCTTTAGAAATTGTTCTTCTAAATCATCGAGTTACAATAATATTAACCTGATCTAATCGTTAATAGGAGAAACCTGATATATCATTCCGTTGATCATAATTGAAATCAAATGCAAGGACAGTCATCTGAAATCTAACCAAACATGTTTTGAACATTTAACACAGTTATGAAGTAACATAGTGGAGAAAAGATATGTCATTCACATTTTCATAAATTCATTCATTTATGTAGGCTTTAAATTTATTTTTTCTACAATTACCTTTTCACAACCTTTCAGATCATTTTTGTATGACATGAAAAATAGGTATCTCATAACATGTTTTATTTTAGGTCCTATGGCAGCAGATAGATATGAGCTGTTGGAGATGACAAAAAGTGAAACTCTTTTAGAACAAATAGTGAAACAAGCTCAGCATTTTATAATGAGAATGAGAACCGAATATGTACTGGATACTATAGCAAAAGAAGTGAAAGATCCATTGATCAGTTCTCACTGGAATACCTTGAATAGCCCAACACAGTCTTGTGTGAAAATCAACATTTCAACACATGGATATGATGCTGTAAGTAGCGTTTTTGAGAGAGAGATAGAATGTTGTGTTGTTTATATTATCTGAAAATTGTAAGCAAAATGATTCTTTAAAATAAGGCATCAGCAATAATTCTAAAATGAAATGTTAAATGACTTGTACATCACAAAAAACCATGTCACGCTTTATCAGTCTGTCTGTCTGCTTCTCTGGTAATCCCTCTTATAGGTTTGAAACCACTACTCAGATTTTAATGAAATTTTGATTAGAGTTCCCAATATGCCAAAGGCAGAAAAATCTTTGTGGCTTTTGAAATTGTATCGTTGTCAAGTGAGTGAGGAGTAATTGTATTTGACTGACTTTATCCATTTAATTCTATAGTTATTCATGTTAATTTAAGTTAAAGTAAGTTAATTTTCATTTAAGAACGTGTGCCATGCGGGAAGTGTGATGCCACCTTTTATTTGTGATTTTTTTCAGCTGTGTCGCACGCCGCTTGTGATACATGTAGGAGAAAAAAGTCTGAAATGTATCTGCCGGGACGGTAAAGTTATGAACATGAGCTATGAACCACAGGAACTCAGGGATCTCATATTCTGCCATATAAACCAACATCAAATACTAGCTGTTCAGGCTCTTGCAAAAACCATGGGCTGGCAGGCATTAGGAAATTCTAATCATCTAGGTAACATTGATACATATTTTGCAGTGAATTCAAGAAACATACATTATTTGATTAGGACGTTACATTCACCAAAGATTCATAACATTCTTCACAAATTAAAAGTAGTAGTACAAGTAGAACTAGTAAAAGTGGACATATGCCTAAGATTAGCTTATTTTCCAGGAACTGGTTCTGTTGAGCCCCTGGGAAACGCTAGCTCCTGCCTTCTGTCATCTCCAACAGGAGACAGAATTATTGCTGTCAGATGTGAACCTCAAGCAGGAACACAGGTTAGTTTATTTTGCCTGTTAGCATTTTGCTTGAGATTTTTGAGTTTTGAATATTCAAAGTGATTGTAAGGACATGTGGTCTTGAACATGCCAGTGACTTTGACCTTTGACTGCAACACGAAAATGGTTATGCAGACATGAAATGGGACATGTGGCACCACTGAATTTTGATCAAGTTGACATGGCATGGAGAATACTCATCTTGATTATTTATATGACTAGTTGGAGGTTACAAACAATCTAAAAACGTGTATATTATTTTTCAAGGAGTCCGTCGAATTTACGATCACTGTTCATTTGAAAACTTCCCAAAACGGATTTATCACAAACCACTGATTAAAAGAAAAAAACGCCGAGAAACGTCAAAAGATTTGTCAAGGGGGAGAACTTTTTAATCAAAAACTACTTCACCCCCTTTTCACCCTTACCCCCCAGGGTCATCCGTTAAAAATTTTCAAATGACAAGGGGTATCGTAATAGCTTGTTTGAGAGGTATCTCGAAGTCCTTAATTTTTATGTTTGATTTTTTAAATTCGGTCGATTCGTTTTCAAGAAAATTAGAAAAATCTTCATTCATCCTAATTTGTTCAGATAGAAAACAAAAACACGAAAATATCACTTTTTATTTCAATAAGTGTTCAAGCTGTTCCCCAGTATTGGCCAAACAGTGATATAGGCGATGTTCAAATTCCCGACGGAAATTTTCAAAAACATGTGGGATATCATGGCAGCTTTCGATGATGCGTTGACGAAGTTCATCCAAACTTTCGGGGTGGGGAGTAAACACAATCGATTTCAAATAGCCCCATAGAAAAAACTCTAATGGCGTCAAATCAGGAGATCCAGCAGTCCATTTTATAGACCCTCTTCGCCCTATCCATTTGTATGGAAACTCGTCGTCTAGCCATTGCCGATCCGGAAGAACATAATGAGGATGAGCGCCGTCTTGCTAGAAATATATTTCAGCTTCATTCATTCTCTTCGATTTGGTTTTCAATGCTTTCAGTGATAAGCAGATTGGTATTTTCCAACATGTCCAAAAATGTCATCATTCAAATTGCCATTAATAAACAATGGCCCAATCACTTTGTTTCCTACAGTGCCTACCCATAGATTAATTTTTTGTGGGTAGTGGGGATGCCCTTCTACAAAAGCATTAGGATTTTCATTGCTCCAATACCTGCAGTTATGCTTATTACCAAATCCATTTAGATAATATGCAGGTATTCTTGACATGAATGTTATTATCATTCATCCCTGCAGTCATTTGTTCACAAATCTCATCTCGCCTCTCGAAATCATCTTCGGTTAACTCTTGGAATATTGTCATTTTGTATAGAGCCTAATGAAACAATTTTGCGTAATGCAGTATTAGGATTTATTTCAAAATTACCCCAAACTTCAACTTGAGCGGCTTCATCCAAAGCTCTGAGATGATCACGTTTTTTATTTGCAACAGATCCAGTTTGAGTAAATTTAGTAACAAGCTCCAAAACATACCTATGCGAAGTTAACTTCCCTGGATGTCTGGCGTTAAAGGTGACGGCAGATTTTTCTAAATTTCTCGAAAACAAATCGACTGATTTTAAAAAATCAAACGGCAAAATAAAAGACTTCGAAAGACCTGTCGAACAAGCTATTACTCGATACCCCTTGTCATTTGAAATTTTTAAGGGAATGCCCGTAGGGGGCCGAGGGTGAAAGGGGGTGAAGTAGTTTCTGGTTAAGAAGTTGTCCCCCTTGACAAGTCGTTTGGCGTGTCTCGGCGTTTTTTCTTTTAGTGGTTTTCGATAAATCCGTGGTGGAAAGTTTTCAAATGAACACCCTGTATGATTTTTAGGTTTCAGTAGCTCACACTCCAAGGACGGACTTTTTCCCTAGCCGGTTGGTAACAGAGAAGAAATGGGAACATTTAGGTGGTCAATTCAGAGATGTGAGGTTAGAGAAGATGGAGGGTAGGAATTTCCTCCATAAAATGGAACTCCTCATGGCGAGCTTAACTAGTAATTCTTAAATAAATTATTTATTTAGGCATCTAAGACATGTATTATACGTCAAATGTGCATTATTATTTATGCAAGTATCGGTTTCATTTTCTAATGAAATATGCAACAGGAATGTAAGTTGTAGACAGTGAATAATCACGAATCACGTTGGTTTAACTTTATTGAAAATATTCCTATGATTCCTGTTCCTGACAAGTAAGAGCCAATACCTTTGAAATTAGTTTTATGAGACTATGTAAACAAATTTTACCTGAATCGTTCAAATGTAGAGGTTTGTTCCGCGATTTTAGCAAATTACAGTAAAACTATCAGAATCATTTAATATCTCCATCTTCCTCACACATATACAAGCCGCGTGGGAAAAAGATTCAACATCCGTTCAGCACAAGATTTCCATAATATGTAATCACTTTCCTTTAAATCATAAACTGATTGGATTTTATAAGGATCAAAACCCATTTTTTTCTTCATTATGCCATGCTGTGTTGACCTAGGGATTCCCAAAGCAGCGGAATGCTTCCGTACAGAACGCCGAGGGTTTGCAATGACCGAATCACTTACTCGACGCACATTTTCTTCGGTTGATACAGTAGGCTTGGGGCCATTAATGGGTTGACCAAGAGTAGGGCCTGTTTCACGGAACCTCTTAATTCACTTTCTCACTGCGTTCTTACTTGGGGCATATCTTGGTCGGCGAATGTTGTATCGTGTACAAAATTTCCAAAGGGCACCTGCGTTTGAATCACCACTCTTAAAGTAAGCCTTGATAGCAAAAGCACCTTGCGCTCCGGTCCAACGTTCCATTGTGATTATTTAACCCGCACGCCGAACGCGTCGATCAAAACCTCTCCCCACTTCCTCGCGTATACGGTTGCCGGGTAATTCAAATTCGAAATGTCAACTTTCCCACTGGCGACCCTGTGCTTCACTCAACTGACGATGAATTTCTAAGGGTGGCAACGTTTTTCGAACCACCGCACGAATTTCCCACCTGGCGATGAAGAGCTCAATTGCGCATGTCTGTCAAGCCGGTACTGAGCGTCGTCAATAGGCGCTTCTTGTTGGAATCGGTGGTAGGGGGATTCGACAAACACGACGGTGTTGCCAGATTTTGCCTAGCATGACGGACGGCAAAGTTACAGCGTTGGGAACCGTATTTTTGAAACAACCCTCGTATCTGTACATAGTACAGTAACTTTCTCAAGAGGGTCATTTCTGTGAATTTCGTCGTATGTGCTGAACATGCACCATGCTCTGGTGAGCCGTTTCATTATACCGGGTGTAAACGTTATGATGGTCATTATTTAAATGGGTGACAGAGGTGGTCAAAACGGCATTTTTTTAGAGAAAGGCGACTTTAAAGTAAAATAAAATCTGACAACGCCGCAATGCCAGACGCAAATTACTACGGAACGCAGTGTAAATAAAGATGGAGTTTGTTATTTTTGGCTCCTAGGTATTATTTCATTATTTGATAATGTACTCGTAAAATGCAAACAATTGAAAAAAACGGACTTATCACTAAATGTCTTAGCGCTCCACCTGGTATGTGAAAGTTTATTGAACGTATTAAAAAAATCCACTCATGAATAGCGAACACAATTTTGATGCATACATTGTTTTTCTTTTTAACACCCACACTGCACTTTTTTGTATTTAAAGAAGGCGTTCAAAATGTTGTGACCTACTTTCCACACAAGTTTCATAACGACGAACCCAGTTTCTTCTTTCTCTAGATCCTCGATGTTGTCCATTTATTATTTCAGTCGCATTACATTTTTTTTCCCGAAGTTGTGTTTCAGTTGTTATTGGACTAACCCCATAAACCATCCCTTTAAGTTCTCTCCAATACCAGAAATCCATCGGATTGAGGTCAGGAGATCTGGGCATTTTCGAGGATCAGGAGCATTTCGAGCGATCCAGCGATTTCGATAATATTCATTCAACTACTGAATTTAGAGAAAAATGTGTGGTGGTGCCCCGTCATGAAGAAACCACAAATTCTGTCTCCGTTGTAATGGCATGTTGTCTAAGGTCTGTTCCAAAAGTTCTGGTACGTTATTGGCTAGAAACCTAAGGTATCCTTCTCCTGACAACTTTGGGGTAACTCGAAATAGCCAATTACCTGATCGTCAAGAATACCCGCCCAAATATTTATTTTAAAACGTTGTTGGAAATGACCTTCACGAATGATATGAGGTTTTCTTGGGCCCACGTGCGAGTATTATGGAAATTTAATTTCCCGTCCCGCGTAAAAATACATTCGTCCGTCGCTAGAATGTTTTTACAAAAATCCGGATTTTCAATGGTTTTGTGCAAAAACCACTGAGAGAATGTTAGTCTGCGAGGATAGTCTTCTGGTAACAAGGCCTGCACTCCGTTGTACATGGTAGGGATAAAGCAAATTTTCACGTAGGATTCTATGGACTATGGTATGCGATAGTCCTACGCGGCGGCCTAATTCCCGAGTGCTGATATCTGCATTGATTTCCATGATATTTAAAACTTGTTCCTCCTACTCTACAGTAACCTGTCTTTCACGAGTGCGAATATTAGTGGGCTGAACACTTCCTGTATCTCGAAGTCTTTGGTACACTTGCACAAATATCATTCTGTCTGGGTATACCCGTTGGCGAAATCTGTGGCGATAAATTTGAATTCTGACGAGCTTCACCGTAAACTAACAACATGTCGGCGAACTCTTGATTCGAGATCATTGTAAATAAACACGAGGACGTACGCGAACAAAAACAAAACAACATACTAACCACTGTTACCGTTTTCGATCGATTGCCGGTTCGATAAGAGTGATGATGACCGACGCGCTGTTGTCATGTGTGTTTTAAATATCTAATTTAATCAAACTTACTTACTGACTACAAATTTTGGCTTAACTAAAAAAAACTTAATGCCATTTATTTGTTAATTACCAAATTTAAAAACGTTTTAGATTAGATTATAAAAATTAGTAAGATTGTGGTGATTGTGGTCGATATAAAGCACTTAAAGTTGTAAACTATAAAGCCATTTGTTGTTATAATATATTTATTATTGACTTTTGGACTATGGGTCATATGAACTTTTTGACTTGTTTTGACCCCCCCCTATTACCCGTTTCAATAATGACTAACATAACACACCCTGTATAATCTAGCAGTTAACTGATAGGTAATCGTATCTAGGAGTTAACTGCCAGTAGATTGTTGGGACATGAAACATAAAACAGCGATTGCTTCTCACACATTTATTGAGAAATGGGTGACCAAAAACAAATACAATATAAAACAAAAAAGAAATAAGCATAAAATTTCGTTATAAGACAGATATAAAAGGCACCTAAAGGCGTAAAATAATACATATTGGTAGTTCAGTCAGTAAAGTAAAAAATAAAAAGGGGTGAAAAATATGTACTGATCATATCTAACAAAACAACTACACGATATGAAATGAGATTAAATGATCTTCTTATTTTTTCGCTCTACTTTCTGGCCTGCAATTTGAGAGTTCTACATAATTACAAAAAGAATAATAAACAATTTATAATAAATTAAAGTTAACTTTGGCTACAATTTAAAATTAAGATACTTTTAGGGCTCTATGAGCTAGGAATATAATATATTACTCAAATTATAGACGACGACTTTTTTAGTTTTCTATAATTACAAAACAACACTAAACAATAAAAAAATAGGTACTACCGTGATTGTAAAAATAAGAATATTAACATTTCTTTTACATCGTGACTACTAAAATGCTTTGTATATTTAAAATGTACTTTTTCATTTTAAGAATGGTACTATTGACATTATATTTATTCATTGTCAATTAGAAGTATTTTCAGTTTGCAGATACGTTCTGTATTAAATATATAAAATATGTTCTGGTGTGTAATCTTGTTTCAGTTATGCAATGTTATGATTAATTTTTTTAAATATCATTTACAGTACTAGCACGAAAGCTTGAATGATCTTCGATTTATTATATTCCTCGCATACAAGCGAACAATTATTTCACTTATGCTTGACCCCTCTGTAACACAAAAAGTTCAGTTCAGTTTTTGGGAAATTTTGATACAAGGTTACTTATCGTGTGAAGAAAAAAAAGACTTACAGGATTTGAGTCAGCCCATTGGCGGCGGAATAATCGTCAAGAACAATACTTAATCTTTTTCAAACAACTTCGGCAAGCTATCTAGGTCGTAATTTTGACTTTATAATGACTAGCGGTGATCTACGTATATTTTGTTGCCACTACTCAGAACACATCTGCAAAACCTTGTAATATCATTAACGTCGCAAAAAACGCGTAATCTCTTAGATGTACTGATGTGGTACCATTCTTAGTCAATAACCTTTTTAGAATGTTTTTATGCAATTATTACAATTTTAAATTACATACATATACCATATAGCATACTGGAAGATTTTCATTGTGGTGATTGGAACATGATTGCCTCACATATGAAGTCTACGAAAAAGACTGAAAAAAATCAATAATTCGCTAAATGGAGAATAAATGACAAGGAAAAGAACACCATTCTTTCTTTGAGGTATATGAAAAACAATTATGCAACTGGCCCAGATGAATTGGCAGATATTATCATCCATCTATTACCAGGATCGACCACTACAAGAGTGTTGGAACTGTAAATGCAGGCAAAAGACAGAATTTATATATCATTCTCGTAATGAAAATATCCAAGCTCAAAGATGTAAAAACAATTTTTTATACAAGCGCAGCAATCCTTTTTCTATACTAGTAGTGAAATTAATAAGAATCGATGTATAAAACATTATTATAAGTAATCGGTTCTTGCTTGTTGCTTGTCATAACTATTTTCTTGGCCGGGTTGTAGAAAAATTAGTAATAATATAGGAACAGGGGAACAGACTTTGTTTCAATATCATTCAGGCTATATTATATTATATATTCATTATTCTTATTCATATACCTCGTGGAATAGTGAATTTTATTTAGTGGATGATCAAAATAAGTTACGTTCGAAATCAAGTATGTATGAAAGATGTAGACTTGTGTCCTATAGATCTCTATTGTTTTTTAAGTACTTACAATTACAGATAAGGAGAGTACTGTTCCTTTTGATTATATAGCTGAAAGACAAGTATTATCCATCTGATACAGATCTATGGATACTAAATAACATGATTATATATGTATATTTAAGGAATATAGAGCAATGGAATGAATATAAATTATACAGTATGTTCTGTTCCACACGAAAATTGTTTTCATGTTGAATCAGTCAGACACCGGCTTTGAATGATTTGTGTAACTTCAAACGTGCAAGGAAAAATAAACGATTTCCTAGAGGCATCTATGAGAAAAAAGTAGACTTGGATATTGCAGGCACATGGCTTTGGTACATCAACCTATTGACTCTAACGAGTTGAATGTTGTTCCAACAGATTTTTTTTTTGTACAGTCAGTGACTCTACTCAGTTGTAGTGAATCACAAACAGTGGGTAAGAATGTTTCACAAAAGAAACAAAACACTTCCATTGGACCAAATAATTGCGTAGTGACTAAGAATTTGATTTTTACAACTGATGCTGCAAGGTGGGCAACTAACAAAATCGCTGTTTTTGTCATTTACTTCCCCATGTATAAGCAAGGTGCTGTGATCGCAAAAAAATAGAACTTTGAAGAGCAATGTTTTGATGATTTCACAATCAACACGTAAATCCATCTCACTCATTTTCGTCTGTGAGTGGTCGTTGTTACTCTCGTAATCTAGGAAGAGGCTGCAAAAATTTTGATAAAATAAGGAGCAACAAAACATCTTCAGATCTTTCTCAAATTTTGTTTTTGTTGGCTTTTATAGCCTTTGGAAAACTTGACTGTAATTAAAATTTTTTGGAGAGGTTACTATTTTGAAAACTTGGAGAGGTTACTATTTTGAAAGCTAGTTGATGTTTTTGTTCACTTTAGGTTAGATCGGAGTAAAAAAAATGGATGAGTTTATTTTTGACTTACATATAAAAATCTATAATCAAAAAGCATGTGTTCGTCAAATATTTTCTATTTGTATGTACGGAAAATCTGACAATAGGCAGATGTGAATACGGATGAAATACCAAGTATGACACTACATGACACTATTTTTTCCCAAAATTTATTTATACAATTATCCAAAACTCAAGGCGATTGCAGTGTTTCGAGTTTTTGTCAAGTCTGATAGTCATAGTTGTTTCATAAAGGTCCTAAGCTAATTTAGTCATCTTCAACTTGGGAGTGATTTTCTCAGCTGTTGCTGTTTAAGATTTTGAGAAATGTTTGCTTAAAAACTTGCGCGAGACTGTAGATAACACTACGAATTTCTTCTTACACAGTCTGGATCCCTGCAAGTTGGGGGCCCCGTGTCATTGATACGGCGGTTGTTACGCCTATGCTGAAATGTTTAAATTCTGGTTTTTGAACTTTTCAAATCAGGTATGTAAGGTTCCTGGAAGTGACCATTTTAATAATTTTCAACTGAAATTTATGAACGTGTAAAGCATTATAAAGCAAAATTTGTACGCTTTCTAAACATACTTTTAAATAGTTTTTATATTCTTTTCAATAAATAATAAAATAATATGTTTTTGGGCACTTTGCTCTAGTCATTTTACTGATTTTTTTAATTATAATTAAATATAATATAATCGTCTTTATTAGGGGCGAAGTTCAGCATAGTGCTAGTCTGCCCCTTTTTAGGGATTTCAGTACTAATATGAAATTTGGTTATATATATTATTCTCTAAATGCGTTAATTACTGCTTATAAGATATGGAACAGGAGCATACTGTACATAGTAGCGCTAACAACCCAGTCTGACTTTTACAGAAAAAATTGTAATAATTGTATGATAAATGAACCACCAACTACTTTTACAATTGTTATAAAAGATCTGAAGGAGACGACATAGAACACAACTACAATCTAAAAAAGCACACACCATTTACACCAGCGGATACTAACACTAATTTATAAATATTTCATTTTTATGTTAAATATATCATCTCTATAGTCTATACAACATTCTTGATAACTATTTTTTAAATATAATACAGTGATCCCCTTACTTTTTTATTTCAACAATATGTATATGTATCAAATTTAGTTGACTTTTTTGTGTGAAAAAACTTGGATCCATTAGAATTGATCTTGATTATACACTTCTCACTTTCATAATTTAATAATAAAAAAGAATTAACAAAATTTTCAATAATGCATGGTACAGAATGCACAGTGAACTTGAATTTCGGCATTGTAGATACAACATGTAAAAATAGTACTATCACTTTTTAAAATCCGCATACTGCCAAAAATGTATTACGTTTCCTTTTTATTCTTTAGCTTAGCTTAGAAAATAGTAGTAAAAATTCTTCTGCTTAAAAGTCACTGAGCATTCCAAATGAATCGCTGTTCAAAAAATACAAAAACGAATAACAAAAAATAAATAAACGTCAATAAAACAGTAGTTGAAAAGGCGACTGCACCAAAGATGATACCATTCATTTTGGGATACTAAAATATACAGAGTGTCTCAAGGTCGAATTTTAAATGGAACGCCCTGTATGTCATTCATGTTTTGGACTATGTGTTAGGTTCGGAGCACAGTTCATGTATGACATTCTAAACCTGCACGACACGACAAAATCAGAAGAGTTTCACAAAATCTTTTTTTGGTCTTGATTTAATTTGGGATAAAATTCAAAAATAAATTGCTTCTTCTGTTCAAGGAAAATTCGCCTTTTCCGTTCTACAAAAATACTGTGTATGAAAGTTTCTTAAGACTCGGTTGCAACGAAGTCAAGTATAATACTCCGAAATTGGTCAAATTTGAGGTTAGAAAATATTTATATTTCGAGCACATGTTTCTATGTTACTAAACTAATGTCGAGTTCATGCACAACTTAACGTAATGTTCCACGACGAATTACGGACCAAGCCAGGCGGTGAATCATCTGTTGTTTTTGTTTGAGTTGTTGGCGAATTTGCGGTAGAGATTTGTTTTGGTGTTTGCTTTCGTGTGGGTTTTACTGCGTTGGACTTGTTTTTTGTGCGATTAATTGAGGATGGCCATACCTAGAGCAGCAAACGAAAAGTCGCGCTGGTATTAACTCCTGACCGTGGTGAAGAGGTATCTGCAGAAGACACCTGAACGGAATCGGACATCGCCAGAGCAGCGAATAATGATGACGTTGCAGTAAGTATACAAATCAGTACATTTTTGCATAAATGACTGAATATATTCAGGTTATGGTCATTTTCTTAATTCAAGGTCACTTCTTAAAATAAAATAAAATAAAGTCCAATATATTGAACTTTATCTTAACACCCAACCAATCGGATCAGTAGCGTTGGTCAGCTGATCGCTACAGCTGGAATTAGAAGATGGGTACGAGCCATCGATACTGTACAAACGTCGGTAGTCAATATTTATATCGTGATGTTAGATCGATTTTATATCGCTGTATGGGCAGATGGTTTGGTGAGAGTTGTACTTGGAAGAAAAAAAATGTTAAAAATCATAATAAATAAAGTCAGTGGTCATGTTAACTTCATCCCATAACAAAGTGTGTAGTTTCAGTAAAACATATCAGTATTGCTACAGCATAAAGTAGATCAAAAACTAGCATGAAAAAAATAAACATGGGTCTTAAATTGCCCTCCTACCAAGATAGATGATGTTGAAATTATATTTTAGAAAACGAAAAAAAAAATGGATATGATCTTAAAATTTTGTGCTTGTAGTACTGACATCATAGTAGATAGATACAAACACTTTCATGTCTGAGACTGTACCAGTGGTGATGTTGGGAAGTTCTAGCCCCTACAGAAAAAAAGAGAATTTAAATCTGTACCATGCTCCCCCATGACATGTCTTTCCAAAACCTCACAGAACTCTGTGAAGGTACTTTGTCATTAACTACGAACCAGGTGTACACCTGGCCAATGCTGTTTATTCGCAGCCCACCAAATATGTAATCTCTTTTGATGTTTATTGAGGTAAACAGATGAGTAGCACGTAATAATAAATAATTAATCTGGTAAAGCCCAGGACCAAATTAAGGACTGGTGTTTGGTATCACCAATCAAAATTTGTTTACACATACATGCTTTCTCTGACTGAGAATTTTGGCAATCAAATGTATACTGGCAGATTGGGAATTTATATGTAATGTACCGAGCAGTATCATCTGAAGGGGCGTGATGAGATGACTATGTTTCTGTTTAGTGTTTGCTGACCAAATATGACAGTGATATTATGCCAATAATTTTTTTTTGTTTCACAGTGTCAACATCCTTCAAAGAGACAGTTGGAATGAAGATCGTCATTTATTTTATGGATACCAAATTAATTGTTATTGACAATTAATTTGGTGGTATCAGGAGTTTGTTTCCTAGTTTGAAGAAACAGTTAGTGTTTTACGTTTTTTTTTTTTTTTTTTTGTTGAGGACAATTTTGTTTGCCTTCACCCATTAACAGTGTGTGCAAAATTGTTTTTGATTCACATATCAGAGACTTTATATTTGTATTTCAGTCAGTCCTCTAACTACAGATGTATTTTTTGTTATTTTAGTGTTTATGTGTTAACAAGCGATAGTGCTTGCATGATATTGCAATTATCAAGTTCATAATATAGAGAAAAATCCAGATGGGTAGAATACTTCTATGTATTTAAAATGTATTTATTGTAATGAAGAATTTGTTCTATTATTGCCGGGACTGTTCAATAAATATTTTTTTAATTAGACATTTTTTTATTATCCTGAAATCCATTACTACCCAAACTGATGAAAGAAATAATTCCTTTATTGAGGATGTGTTATGCATCATCGAACTGCCTCAATATCGGGAAGGTCATGCCAGATTTCGTAATGTAAACAAATGAAATCGCCGGCACATTCCTGACTTGCGTTGTCGGCATACTTTCAATATTTATAGTTCCACCAGATTTCCAACCAAGAAAGGTGGCGCTGGTGTCGAGGATATAGTCCAAGAAATATATCTTTACATCTGCTAGGGAAAATATGCCGATTCGGATTTTTTGCACGTTATTCGAAAAAGCCTCCTTGTAACAAATCTATATGTTGTCAGGCCCCAAATTGCGTCTCTAATTGTTTATACAACTTTTTCAAATAAATTACAAAAAATAATGTTTTCGCTTCATCAAAGGTAGTATTCGTTTTTTTTGATACTCCGAAACAAAACGATGTTTGACAATGTTTGTCTATAGTTGATTTTGTAAGAGATGGGAATGTACAAAAAATTGCTTTTGCGATACCGAAAAACGATCTGAAAAAACGAAAATGTTAATGTCACCATGCTTCATAAATAACCATTAACACAATTGTGATACCTTTTAGGAGATACTGTTATTATAAACATTTGTATTTAATTGATAAGCAAGTGCACGCTCAATGTAAATTCAGCGTGCACGAGAGATATTTCATCTCTCACTCGCGTTCACATAGACATCGACTATACATTGAGCGCGCATTCAATTCACAATTACTATGCAAATATTTACAATAACTGTACTCCCTAAAATGCTCCGAGGGTTTTGTTATTGGTTGGTTGTGTGCGATTTGGCAACATCAAAATATTAATTTTTCATATTGTTTTTGGGGTAGCAAATGGTATATTTTGAGTTTTTACATTGCGTATACAATATATCAAGTATAGAGAAAAGTTCTAAAGCTCATTTTTTGTTCAGAATGTCCTAAAAGCCGCAAAATACTTTAAACAAAGCGAAAAAAACACTTTTTGGAATCGGTTTAATAACAATTTTTGGAGCTATTTTGGGCCTAGTCCCGATTATGCAAAAATCGGACTCGGAAGATTTTTCCGAGCAGATGTTCCGATATTATCTGGACTATTATCCGAACATGTGGGGATGGGCCACTTGTCAATGTCAAGACTGGTCCGCAAGTCCTCGTAACACAAAACTCTTTCATCTGCTACCTTGACGTTAAACATATGATTTTATTAGTGTGTTTAATGTTGATATTGTCGCCATTGCTACATTGGCAACCCTGGCCGCGCATGCGCTTTAAATGCTCATTTTCTTAGGTTAAGTTACGTTAAGTCTTGCATGAACCCACCATAAATCGTGTAATATCCCGCCTGGCCTTAATGCAATTGACACAGTTTTCGAGATTCTAATGGTATGTTTGAGATGTTACTTGGTCACAATTTATAGAAAATAAGAAATCTACCGTTTTGTCCCTGAGGTAATCCATGTACCAATACAAATGAGCTCGTAGTTAAAACATGACATTTTCCAGTATAATTTCAATTTGGATATTTGAAAAAAATCGTATAAAGCTTGAAGGGCATCGTTTTTTGGTTCGGTGGTTGATATCCGTAAATGCAACGTGAAAATATTTTTGAAATGCTGTTTAAAAACACGACGTTTAGGCCCTCTTCAAGTAAAAAGGGCAATTTCAAGATGTTACCTCTCTGTACAATATAATTATTGCATTGCATCATATGAGCGTTGTCTCATATCGTTCTAATGCCTGAATTACCTTATTCCACAGTCGATGACATGCGTATTCTATACATGTACAGTCGCCGTTTGCACTACGGTGAAAACTAAAACAAATATATACATAATAGATAATAATAACGTTGGGCCTAAGTGGGATTTTTGATAATCCTTTTCTGCCTGAAATCATACACCCTCCGACAGAAGAATACCATTTCCGGCGAGACATCTGACGAGGGAGGTTGACGGTGAGATCGCGGGTATGGCTCCGGATTTGGAATGCATGGAAGAGTTTCTTCGATACCTTCTTCCAGGCGTTTGTATCGTTTGCGATACCTGCAACAAAGGAAGTAACGGAACGAATTAATACATTAATGACCTTACTGACGTTCCAGCTTTAAAAAATAATAACTTATAAATGTAATTAGAAAAAGAGGCCAACATACAGCAAAACTGATACAAGTGCTGATCCATTTGAGACAAAAACAATGAACATTATTCTGTGAGCAGTAAAGGGTGTCTCAATAAGAGCGCCGGATTTGATTTTCAAGAAAAACACAATTTCTTTCCGAATTAAGCAAGTATTGATATTTCAACATGAAGAGGAATAGTTGCGATTAAACATGAAACAGGGCATCCGATAAATGGCCACCACGAAACCTCTGACGCACGGTCAGTGCTTTCTTAAAATTCTGGGTAACGTTTTCGCACAACTGTGGCTCTATTTCGTCGATAACGCGCCGTATCTCTTCTTTAAGACGTTCAACTGTTTGTGGCTTGTTCGCAAACACCTTTTCCTCCACACACCCCCCAGAGAAAGAAGTCCATTGACGTTAGATCGCACGATCTTGGTGGCCAATTTTGATTGCCAAACCGAGAGATGACACGGTCTGGAAACTCGATCCGCAGTAACACCATTGTTGCGCGTGCTGTGTAGCAGGTCGCACCGCCTTGTTGGAAGAACATATCCTCCACATAAATTCGATCCAAATGGGGCCACAACAACTCCGTTAACATTTCGCGATACCGCACACCATTAAGTTCCAGCTGCATTTTTGAAGAAATGCGGTTTAATCACTCCACAATGCGCACCAAACGGTAACTCGCGGTGGATGCATTGGTTGTTCGATTATTACACGAGGATGTTTAGAACCCCAAATTAGGCAGTTCTGCTTAATGACGTACCCGTTCAGTTGAAAATGTGCCTCATCAAAAAAGATTTTCTTCGAGAAAACCGTATCAATTTGGTGGTGCTCCAGCACCCAATCAACGAATTCACGGCGCTGCGCATGGTCCGCTGGCTTGAATTATTGCGTCAGTTGAACCTTGTACGCATGCAAGCACAGATCTTTTATCAAAATTCGTTGCAGAGTGGGTCTGGTAAGGTTCAATTCTTAGCCACGATGCCCAATATAAGTGCCTGGATGCTCGGCCACGCTTTCCCGCACTGCGACTATATTTTCGTGGGTTCGACCAAGACGGCGACGAACAGTGGTCTTCATATTCAGCAACGTGAATTTTTCCTCAAATTTTGTAATTAAACGGCGAACTGTCGACTCATTTGGCACCGAAAATTGTACGTTATTTGCGAACTGTTTCCACGTAATTTTCCCCATTTTTGTAGTGAGTTTTCACAATAAGTAAACTTGCTGGTTCGAATACTGCTCCATGACGTCTAATCGCGTGGTCTGGACATCACAGCTATCATCAAGTAAACACCATACCATGTCACGTGCCAAAATCTAGTAACATTTTTTTTCTATTTATCACTTTATCAGTAATTTGAATTTCTCCTCATTGATAATAGAGTGCCCATTCCTAGGCCAAACCCCTTTTCAATGATTTTCTTTTTGCTAATTTAATAGTTTATTGAATGTGTAATTTCACTCGTATTATATATTTCTTTCTCAGCAAAAAACTCCGTTTTTCTCCGTTAGTTGGCTTCCTATAAAACATATCTTCAAGGCCACTCAAGATTCCTTCCTCTAGAACGTAACTTATTCTGTGATTCGCCTTCCAGCTTCCGTTTAGGTTGAGTTCGTGGTGCAGGGGTCTTTTTGTCGTTTTCCAGACTCTGGGATATTAGGCCTCACGTTGGGCGCCACAAAATTTGCCACGCCTTTTTTTGTACAAAGACACCTTTTTTAAGCGAAGTTAGTTGAGAAAAAATATAAATGTTTGAGATTGAATAGTGTAGACAAAGACAGAAAAACAGAGATGGACATTAATTGTTGAAGGTTTATTATAATGCGAATTAATATATGCGTACGTATTTTAGATACTTTTTGTAGTTGACTTTGAATGATTTGGCAGATGGGTTCTTAAAATGGAAGGGGATAGAATTATATATTCTGTAACTATTAAATATAAATTAATGATCTCTCAAATATATAAAGAAGTTCGATGTAGAGGGGGAAAGATATGGTAGTTACTGCGAATATTTTTATCCTATTCCATAAATATGGAGGCGTTTTGGTAGAGACAATTTTATGGAATGAAGTTGTCTTCTGCAAGCCATGTTGATTCAGCTAACCTCCTCTAGCTCATGTGATACCCTGTCAAACTTGCGGATGCCGAATATGAATCAGAGACACGACTTTTCTTTAATTCGGCCACAATCTATTTGGGTTAAACGGGGTTCATAGAATAGGTCTAGCAGGTCAAAAACTGCCGTGTTGGTCGTCAGAAAAGTCATATAGTTATTGGGCGAGTTAAAAAGTGTCCCATTTGTTACCTGTAGGTTTCCTTAAATCGGAGTAAATAGAACTACAAAGTGCCCGCGATTTCTTACTGATATGGAGCCTCTAAACGGGCAATGGTTTTGTTGCAATATTTGGCAATAACTATGGCAACTATAGCCCAGCTATAATGAATGTGGTCCGGCCATATCAATGTGAAGATACGTACACTTGTCAGAATTCTCTTCTCTTCAGAAGAGCTACAAAATCGGACAAAAATGGCTGTCGAAATTGTGCGTATCGCGGCAGCCTACATGTCTTGAGAAAAAAAATAAAAAACAAAAAAGTAAATGACGAGATTCTGGATTCGACCTTCGCTTACCTTCCAGTCATTCGTCAATCTAACAGGACTATATGAAAATAATAGGTAGGAAAAGTCACATAGCTTGGTAGCAATATGGCCAACCATACTGAAAATATTGCAGCTAGATGATGCAGTCAAGATATTGCCAGATTAGAGCCTCCTATATACAAAAGCCAATGCTTGAGATAATTGAATGATACTGTTTCCAAAAAACTAGATGCGGAAATCGTTTTTCGACTATTGACATTGACTCAAGTATCATGAGGGCTCACAAATCAATATGTTTATTCACGAAAAGTATGACTAACAACAAGTGTTGTGTTGAATGCCGACTTTGGTCGAGTTTGAAGTTTTTGGACTAATTTTTTCAGTTACATATTGAAATAGTTAGAAAAAAAAGTTAAGCATTATTTCAATATCAAATACATTTTGATATTCCAAAAAATATAGGCGACACAACACAAAAATGTAGTATGGGAACGTTTTGATGTTTTTTAAATTATACCTTTTTAGAACGTACTAAAACACCTACAAAACCTCCCAAATTTCAAACTTACCACGATTTGTTGAAACGTAAATGCGATGACATATCTTGCGAAAAAATGAGTATTACTATGAGAATTGGCACTTATTTTGTGTACGCAATGACCACGTTGAGCCAACGTAAAACGGTCCAACGGTGCAGCGCTTTCACGGTGAGTAGCTGGAGCCAGAACATAAAGGGTTTTCCATTAAGGCTTAACAAATTTCTTTTTAAATAAAACGCAAACCATTTGAGATATCTCGAAAATTTTGTTATTTGACTGAAGTATACTCAAAAAATTTATGTATGGTATTCAACTTCGTTCATATGTCCACCTCGGGCACGTTCGCAGCGATCGATTCGTTGAACCCAATTTTCAATGACTCGGCTACACATCACGACAGATACGGCCGCTATCTCTCGTTCACTATTAGCTCTGAGCTCCTCTAACGACTTGTTGGCATAGAGCAATGATTTAATGAAGCGCCACAAAAAAAAGTCAAGAGGTGTTAAATCACACGATCTAGGCGGCCTTTCGGCAGGACCTTTTCTCGATATAACATGTTCACCGAATTTTGATTTCAATATGTCGATTGTCTCACCCGCTGTTTAGCTTGTGACACCGTCTTGTTGAAACCACATATCGTTAATGTCTAGCACATCCAATTGACCAAAAAAATAACGTTGCAACATTTCTCTGTAGCGATCTCCGTTGACTGCAACTGACGGTCATTTTCATCAACGAAAAAAAAATGGCCCAATGACACCACCTGTATGAAAACTACACCATACAGTTACTTTTTGTGGATGAAATGGTGTTTGTTCTGTTTGTAGACGAAGAAATTTAGCCAAAAATGCGCCTCATCACTGAATATGATTTTCTTGCAACATTTCTAAAGCCCAATTTGAAAACGTACGTCGGTTCATATGATCGAATGACTTCAGTTCTTGAGTTAACTTGATCTTTTAAGGGTGCAGGCCTAGACCTTTTCGCAAAATTCGCCATAGTGTGGTCTGAGCGATGCTCAATTCTTCAGAACGCCGTGAAATCGACGTGTTCTGTTCATTTGCGACGGAAGCTTGAACTGCGGCAATATTCTCAACATTTCGATCAACCTGTTGTCTCACTGGCACGGGAACATCCAGCAGCGAATATGTGGACTCAAATTTTTTTACTAGACTATTAATTGCGTGTCTACTGGAACGAGAATTACGACCAAAAATTGGCGTTAACGTTCTTAAAGTTGCAGTCACCGACTCGGAATTTCGGTAGTAAATTTTAATTATTTGTAAGCGGTGTACGTTCGTGTACTTCAACATGCTGAAAATATTTTCTTTATGAATGTTGTGACATTGACAGTTCGGTAATTGATTTAAAGGTGCGTTCACAGTGAAAGTCCAAAGTTGTCAAGTCAATATTGGAAAACCCGATAGTTTCACATCAGTTTTCACGCGGCTGTCAAATTTGATAGTTTGTTGATAATGTTGCGAATTGTGAAACATAATCTAAGACTAATGCTATTGAGCATACAAAAGCGCTCATCGTATTTTTAGAGTTTATTTCTTGTAATTCATAGTAGATTCTTTATTTAAGATTTATTATTATTTACTATAGATTATTAACCTGAACGAGAGTTTACTTAGATATTTACAAGTATACATATTCGCTTATTTTTATTAACTTGCTTATTTATCCTGTGCTGACAGAAGTGCGTGTTTTTCTGGGCAGATGAAACCAGATACGTATAAATTACTATTTAATGACGTTTCTGCTACCACGGCGAAAAAAGTACAGTTAATAACAATAACATATAATTATTCCAAGTTACAGTTCATTTGTTTTTTAATTGAACTAGTAGCAGAAAATGCAAATGAACTGTCATCTGGAAGACATGAATATTGTTATTGTAATAGTGGTCGAAACGTCAGTAAAGTAATTTATACAGATGCGTTTTAATTCTGGCAGATGTTCATGTTCCGTTGTCTGCCCTTTTATTGAAGCACGTTAAATCTTTAGGACCATAAGCAGTACATATTCTCAACAAAATCAAATAAAATAAATTATTTCCGTAATTTTCTTAACATACCTGCAATATTCATTGAAGGTTAGGACGTAGCACTTGTCATCGATACACGCTACACTATTGGAGTCTTTGTGCCTTGAAGCAAATACTTCATCTGGTTGATCTGTCGGTAATCTCCCTTGCTCCGTGTGCTCGGGTCGGTAGTACCACAGCAGAGACATCATCATTTCACCTGAAGCATATCAAACAGTTAGAACATCTAACTCATTATATGTCAGATCACTAAGGAACAATGTCACCAACTTTATTGAACTGAGGTCAAGCTTCAGAACCATATTCAAAAACAGTCAGCAATAAGTCGGAATTCATTAGTACACCATTGATCTTGGTTCGCTCAACGCTAGTAAAACTCACAACTGATGAAGCTCAAAAACGTCAGTCAACTATGAATGGCGTCCAAGTTCCATTTTGCATAGAAACTGTAGCCCTAATATATCAAGGCGGAGAATCCTTAGGGCACTTTGGAAACGAAGCATAAATATCAAACAAGTTAAAAAAGTAAGTTATCAATCCGTTCTGCCCTTAACTATTATTATCCATGATTTATAATTTGTATATAAGCGCTCACCATCTTCGGGATTTTCCCAAAGTGCGGCAATCTTCGCCACAAACGGTAAATCATTCTTTCTAGGGCCGGCCTTCAACAAAACACAGTCCCTTGGTACAATTTTATCGCCTTCCATGTGCCTCATTGCCGGGAAGCATCTGCGGACTGCTGTCACTTCATCGCTCTAGAGAAAAAAGTATCGTCAATGTGTCTTGTAAACGAATTAAGCAATAGCAAGTTTTATACGGTGGATCTTGAATAACTATTTCCGAGGTTTGTCCTGAAAATACGTATAAAAGTGGATTAATAACTTATTTCAGGTATTTCAATATGGTATCAAAGTACTACCCCTAAGACAAGACGCACTTCTGTCAACGCCGTTTCCACTGTTGATCCGATCGCTGAAAGTCTGAGGCTCTTTATTTGCCGTGTCGTTTCTGCCTTGATGGCTTCCACATCCCCAAGTGCCACCCGCGAAGCACCATTTTGCATTTTGGGAACAGGAATAAGTCGCAATGGGCTAAATCGGGTGAATAAGGCGGGTGTTCTGTCACGATGACTGAGCTTCGGGGCAAAAACTCATGCACAATGAAAGAAGGGTGAGCAGGCGCGTTGTCGCGATGAAGGATCCACCTGCCATCTTGTGCCAAATCCGGTCGAACTTGGCCACACCAGCGCAAAACTTCAATGTAGAAATTTTCGTTCACTGTCTGACCGGGAGGGACAAATTCCTGGTGAACAATGGCCCGAGAATCAAAGAAAACGATCAACATTGTTTTCACATTGGACCTGGATTTTTTCGACATTTTTGTTCCCGGTTCCCCTGCTTGCTTCCACTTCATGCTTTGAGATTTCAGCTCCACATCGAATTCGTAGAACCAAGACTCGTCTCCAGTGATGAAAGTTCCCCCTTTCCTATGCACAGCAAGCAACACTCCTCGCTTTCTGTTCTGGAGTCAAGAGCTTCGGAACGATTTTCGCGCACAATTTTTCCACTTGAAGTTTTTCTGTCATAATTTTGTGGACGAGCTCGATGTGTAGGGGCGTCCTGAGCGATGGTCATCTTTCACATCTTCTCGGCCTTCCCGTAACCTTTTCAACCACTTGTTGACGATTGGTTCCTTTAGAGAATAGTCCGTAAACTTGTTCCAAACACTCAAAAATGTCACGACCATTCTTGGTTAGCTTTGCAAGAAACTTGATGTTGATGCACTGTTCCTCGGTCAGAGAGAGCTCCATGAAGACGGCAGATAAAAAAGGGTTACTTTCAACAAGCTCTCGTAAATCCTACTTACTCACAGAGCGCTCCGGTTCGAACTGAGCATAGACGGGATTGTATAGAGACAGAAAACCACCTGGCCACCCCTCCACGATGCCCCGAATTTTGTATACGTATTTTCCGGACAAACCTGGTATTCCAGAATACATGAAAACGACAGTAGATTCGAGACATGACGGAAATCTGTTTCCTGTCAGATTTGGCTCTGTATTAGATTATTTTACTTACATTTATGAAAACCTTGGCTTCATAAGGATCACCTTCCCATGACCATCCATTTGACCACCTCGGACCTTGTAACGACCGCCTCGGTATTTTGTTGATAAGTTGTGGCACTTCAACACATTCCACACTTTTCGTCTTCTTTTTCGACGCTATCTTTTTGCACTTCACGTTCTTACTGGGCTTCACCTCTTTCAAAGATTCTTTATCCTTCACTTCTTTTGGTTCCTTCGGTTTATCTTTCGTCGCTATTTCCTTCGTCGTCTTCTTGCATTTGATCTTGAAAAAACAAAAATGGAGTAAATCGACCCGGTACGTTTAGTATGTAAACATTTATGTTCGAATTACGCATGTACACGAGGTATATAAATTAAGTGACGAGAATGAGACGTAGCGTTCGATCTAGCAACACTGACAGCACCGGGCTTGGTGGGGAAATAGGACAACATGTGATTTAGATAGAGTAACTTGGTTATACGTTTTGTAAAACGGTTTTTTCTATCGTGTTCTAAACATGAGTGACATTTATTTCAAGCAACGGTGTGCTTTCAGGTTTTGCTTCAGATTTGGGAACAGTAAATCGGAAACTCTTGCTGAGCTTTTCAGCAGTTCTTCGGAGATAGTGTTTTATCATCAAGAGCCCAGGTTTTTCGGTGGTTTCAGGCATTTTCAGAAGGGAGAGAGTCCATTGAAGTTGAACCACGAAGCGGAAAGACTTCATCTTCAAGAACCGAAGAAAATATTGACAGAATCCGTTCAACAGATCAAAAACAACTGGGCGGTTGCGTCACGATAAAGCTCCTGGTCACACAGCAATGTCAATAAACGAGTTTTTGTCCAGTAAAAACATTCATGACGCTTCCCCAGCCTCCTTACTCGCCTGACTTGAGTCCTCGAGACTTTTCTATTTTCCCGAAGTTGAAAAATCACCTCAAGGGAACACATTTTGGGACAGTCGAAAATATTCGCACGGCTGTAACCGACCATCTGAAGACTATTCCAGTATCAGAGTTCCAGCACTGATATGAGGAGTGGAAGAACCTCCAGCGCTGTGAGGCTCCAGACGGAAGTTATTTTGACGGTACCAATATAAAATCATAATCATACTTGAATAAGAAAATTAAAAAAATCAGTCTCATCACTTAATTTGCAGACCTCGCACACATTCTAAACAATCTTGTCTTTTTCAAGTTAAACCAAAATGAAGGAATCGGGAAGCATTACAAAATTAGAATTTTTTAGATAACTGTAATTAGGAAAACGGGAAAACATTACGAGCCCATAAAATTGTTCAACTAATTATGCCAGAAAGAGAGAACCATATGTTGAACAGTATCGGCTGACACTTTCATGTGCGCGATAGGTGTTTTATGACTTTGACAATTCTTCGGTCCAAGATATAATAAGAAAATGCAAATGGACACTTAGTACCGGCACCCAACTACTTTTAAGTTCCTACGGGTCTTAATTTTGCAGTTACAAATATGCGACTTTGTTCAAAGTAGAACCCATAAAGTTATGTTTAGTTAAAGTATGTCAGAAAGACAGAACCATATGTAGAACATTATCGGCTGATACTTCCATGCTGCTATAGTTGTTTTATGACTTTGACCATTTCATCGGTACAAAACATAGTCTAATCATATTAGGCTGGTGTGCAAGATAATTGTAAAGTCTGGTTTTATTGATAGATCGTGTTTTTTAGGATTCAATCGAAAGTGTTGACAGGAACGAAAAAACTCTTCAAATAAGATTTTTAGGTATTTATGAGACCAACAGAATGAGGCCACACGTAAAAAGATCCCCCCCTAATAATAAAAAAGTTATGGCCGAAAACCGAGACAAAATGCAGATTTTGGCACTTGTTTGCTACTGCGACAGTAATTTTACGTAGCTACTTGAAATTCTTCAAATCCTGAGGCTTCTTACTTCTAAATAACCACAACAAAATTGAAGTCGATTGGTCGAGTAGTTTTTGAGAACTTATCAATTGTTTATCCCAAAGCACCTGTCTTCCGGCCATCATTACTAGTTTATTGGGCAATATACAGAGGAAATTCAAAGGGCATTTTATTGCAAAATACACGAGTTTTCCTTGCCGACATGAATCACAAGCCATTCCGAAAGATAATTGTTATTTTTTAAGCGAAAAGGAAGGTTTCCTTTTTTTCTCCTAAACAAATTCAAACATTTCGTATTTGTAAGTAACTGAACAGATTCGCTACGATATTCGAAAAACATACTTTATTATACACAATTTTGAAACAAAGTGTATCACCTTTTGTTGCGAAGAAAAAAATTACTTACAAATACGAAATGTTTGAATTCGATTAGAAGAAAAACGTAACCATTCGTTTTTCGCATAAAAATAACAATTATCTGTCGGAATGACTTGTGATTCATGTCGGCAAGGTAAACTCGTGTATTTTGCTATAAAATACCCTTTGAATAAACTCTGTATATTGCTCAATAAACTAGCAGTGATGGCCGGAAGACAGGTGTTTTGGGATAAACAATTAGAAATCCTCAAAGACTACTTGACCAAGCAACTCCAATTTTGTTGTGGTTATGTAGCAGTAAGAAGCTTACGGATTTAAATAATTTCAAGTAGCTGCGTGAAATTATCGTCGTATTAGCAACAAGTGCCGAAACCTGCATTTTGCCTCGGTTTTCATCCATAAATTATTCACTATTAGCGGGATCTTTTTACCTGTAGTCTCATTCTGTAGGTCTCATAAATACCTAAGAATCTTATTTAAAGAGTTTGTCCGTTCCTGCAAACACTTTAGATTGAATCCCAAAAAACACGTTTTCTCATTCTTTGTTGTCGAATAAAAAGTTTTCCCACAAAAATTGGTGTACCCATTCTATGCGTCCATGTTTTAAATACCCCCTGGAACAACTTGCATCAATAAAATCAGACATTACAATTATTTCGTGAAATTTGCTAATATGATTAGAATAAATAAGAAAATGGAATATAACACTCAATATTCACCTCTTTGGATGTAGCTTCCTTCGGTTTTCCCTCCTTTAACTTGCTCACAGTCTTTTTGGCACTACTCTTGTCGGGCAGTGTCCTGTTATGACACACTTCACTAATTACACTCTCGATAGTCCTGTCAATGCTGTCTTGGGCGATAAGCGTATCCAACGACGTCGGAACTGTTTTGGTACTGCTTGTCGTCTGTTTTTTTGACAGCTTCTTAGCGGCTGTTGTCGTCACGCCCTCTGGTTTCTTCGGCTTCGCGGCGACTTGCTTTAGATTATCTAATGTCGACAGCTTTGACCTAGAGAAAATAGTAATGTAACTCAAATCTCATCCTGTGGGGCATCATGTCCTGACCGATAAATGAAACACCACAGCCATGTCGTGGCGTATGAATCCCATACAGAATATAGGACGTTCGAAGTATCTCGTATCACGTGTGAAAGCAATTTTACTTTTCTAAATTGAAATGGGAAAATACTTATCGCCCGGAATATACACTCGGAGAATACCGAAATAGATAATATTAAAAATAGTTGTTTTCAAGGCTTGTCAAAAACATACTAGACGCCAAAATTAGCACCCAACTACTCTGGAATAGTTTGAAGTTCCTACAGGTCTTAATTTTGCAGTTACAAGTATGCAACTTTGTCCAAAGGTGGGCCCAGGAGTTTTCTTGGGTTTTTTACCTTTAAATATTTTGGTAACAGCCAGTTAACAGAGACAGAAATTCGGTTATATTTCTGTAACTAACTTCTCCCTACAAGGCTTTCAAGTTAGAAAATAGATTCGAAGCAAAGGTTAGTTCCCTGCTAATTGCTTCACTGAAAGTTTCGTGGAAATAAGGCATTTTGTTTATTTTCGGTGACATAAAGGCACGGACGTTTCAAAAAACAATCCTTAAATCTAATCCATGTCGCACGCGATTGGAGATAACGATTCGACAATGCGATTAGGTTGAAAAGTTGTACGTGACTTTCCACACAAACGCATATAGTCATAGGACTACCAACAGGCTCGAAATGCAGGGTGTCCAGTGAGAAAGCTCACTTTTTGATTTGAGAAAAAAATACAAACATAATGATAAGAACATATTTATTACTATCAACATATTCGCAAATTCGGCGGGATTTATTTCTTAAATATCATTCGGTTCAAATGTTTGCCATCCCTTCAGACACACTCTTCTAATCGCGCGCGCAAATTCTGAAACAATCTCTTGCAGAGTTCCGGGGTTATGTTGTTAATTTCTCGTTGAATGTTGTCTTTGAGCTCCTCCAGTGTTCGTGGATTATTGGAATACACTTTTGAAAATAATCGCATGGCGTGAGGTCGGGTGACCTAGGAGGCTGTGTCCATCGATTCTCTGGAAGTATGGGCAGTGGCCCCATCCTATTGAAACCATGTGTTTCTGTTAAATCGACGTTCTGATCTTACAACAGGGACAAAAAAAGTGTCAATAATGTCCTTGTATCGCTCGGAATTCACTGTCAATGCATGACCGTTTTCATCTTCCAAGAAATACGGCCCAATAATACCGTTAGAGGATATGGCGCACCAAATAGTCACCTTTGGACTACGTGGCTGTTGTTGATGTTTCTCTTTTGGGTTCGTTGGTGCCCCGTATCTGCAATTTTGCTTGTTCACATAACCGCCTAAGTGAAAATGGGCCTCGCCACTGAAAACAACGTTCTAGAGTCTGCGCTGCGTAGGAAAAAGGTTCAACATCCGTTCAGCACAAGATTTTAGTAACATGTAATCACTTTCCTTTTAAGCATGGACTGATTGGATTTTATAAGGATGAAAACCCATTTTTTTTCTTCATTCTGCCAAGCAGTGTTGACCTAGTGGTTCCCAAAGCAGTGGAGTGCTTCCGTACAGAACGCCGAGGATTTGCAATGACTGAATCACTTATTCGAGGCACATTTTCTTCAGTTAATACAGTAGGTGTGGGTTGACTAAGAGTAGAGGCCTCCAATAGTTTCTTACAGTGTTTATCAGAAATCTGTTTTGAATGATGGAATGAGCAAAACTTTTAATAACAATACCCATGTAAATATCGATCTTGTTGAGGAAGAAGAGGTTACTTTAGCTATCAAACAACTGAAGGACAAGATGTCCTCGGGTCCAGATGGAATTCCTTCATTTTTAGTGAAAGACTGTGCAAGAGCTCTTGTATCTATACATACTGTACTATTTAGTTTAAGCTTGAAGTCTGGTACTTTTCCAGCAGTATGGAAAGTTTCCAAAGTCTGCCCTGTTTTAAGAACGGTGATAAGTGCAACATCGAAAACTATCGACCAATATATCTTATATGTATTTTTGCAAAAGTCTTTGAAATTTTCTTATACAACCGCTTATATCGGTCAATCAGTAATCAAATATCTCAACATCAACATGGTTATGTTAGTAACAGATCAACAGTAACGAACTTTGTTATTTTGTCACAGTATATCTCTGAAGCACTAGATAACAATTGTCAGGTTGATGTTATTTACACTGATTTTTCAAAGGCATTTGACAGCATTGATCATGGTGTTCTATTGAAAAAAACTACCAGGCCTTGCATTTACTCAAAGCACTATAAAATTCTTTATGTCTTGTTTACTAGAACGGAAGCAGTTTGTGGCATACAATGGTTTCAAATCTGACACCTACTTAGCTCCATCTGGTGTCCCACAGGGGTCTAATTTGGGACCACTATTGTTTTCGCTATTCATTAATGACCTCTGTGATGAATTCAACTGCCAAATATTATGTTTCGTGGACAATATGAAAGTGTTTGGACTTACAGATGCAGTTAGGTTGTGTTGTGATCTGGAGCGAGCGAAATAAGTTGCATCTTAATACAAGCAAATGTAAGGTAGTTAGTTACACCAGGAAGAAAACCACTCATAGATATATATATATATATATATAACTATAACATTGGATTTTATTTGAAAAGGTGCCAGGCAGTTAAAGATTTGGGAGTTCTCTTTGACGAAAAGCTGACCTTTACTGCTCATATTTCTCACAAAATTTCAGAAGCTTGGAGGTCCTATAGATTTTTAGTTAGGAATTGTAGGCAGTTTCACAACATAAGATCATTGAAAGTCTTATATTCCGCAAATGTGCGGACGAAACTCGAATACGCAGATGTTGGATGTTGTATGGAGTCCTTATTACTATACATGCTATGTGAAAGACATTGAAAAAGTTCAGCGAAAGTTCCTAAAGTATTTGTATTTTAAATCAGAAGACATTTACCCGCGGCAAGGGTAGTAACTTGGAGCTATGTGAACGTTTCGATGTTAAAACGTTAGAATTAAGGAGTAAGATATCGTCTGCCATTTTTCTGTTTAAATTAATAAATGGATATATTGACTGTCCCGAAATTTTCTCGAAAAAAAGTTTTAATGTACCTGCTTTTACCTCACGCAACCATGTTACATTCAGATCTGCTCGAGCAAGAACCAATGTTTTAGTTAAATCGCCAGTTCACATTATGTGTAAGTATCTAAATAATATTAGCTGTCATTGAAACATATTTATTTGTTCCCCTAACGAATTGGTTAGGATGGCTTATATGTATGTCAGCTGAACTAATAATTTTTTTTAATTGTTATTTTTTACCACTGTGCATGATTTTTTATTTTCCATATTCTATTTAATTGCCCTATAATTGGGTTACAGTTGGACAATAAAGCTATTATTATATTATTATTACTTGGGGCATCTCTTGGTCGGCCAATGTATCGTGTACGAAATGTCCGAAGGGCAGCTGCGTATGAATCACCACCTTAAAGTTCGCCTCGATAGCAAAAGCACGATGTGCTCAGATCCAACGTTCCATTGTGACTATTTAATCCGAACGCCGAACGCGTCGATCAAGACCTCTCCTCACTTAGTCACGTATAAGGTTGCCGCGTAATTCAAATTTGAAATGTGAACTTTCCCACTCGACACCCTGTACCTCCCTGGAATATAATGTAGAAAGTAGGAACAGAGTCGGCCTTTCATGTACTCTATGAAGCGTTGAATGATGAAGGCTACAATTCTCTGTGAAGCCTGGGTTGGAACCAAGTTTACACTAGCATTAATGCCCCAATAGATTGAAACTATACTTCGATAATCTAAACTACAACAAACGAGAACACGTTAGGGACCGTTTGTGGACAAAACGATTGTAGCCGAAAAACTGTGGTTTAATTAATCTGAAGCTAATAGTGTCATCTCAAATATATTTACCTTTTATTTAATTGTTCTTTAACCAAACTGAGTTTTCTCTTTTTGGCTATCCCTGTCTTCATCTTCGGTCTCCTGTTCGTAACTCCGTTTTCGCTGATCAACTTCCTCTTCCCATTATGTATTTTAACACAGTTGGTTTCCCTCTTGATAAGCATCTTGTATGATCCCAGTTTCTGCTTTTTCTTGGGAGGAGGTGACAATTCGGGCTCAGGTACTTTTTCTTTGCACACGGAAAGTTTCCGTTTCATATTTTTTACTTTCACATTTTCAGCTACGGTACTCACTACTGGTGGGAGTATGGTCTCTTCTACCACTGGTTTCTCAGGTAGGTTAGTAATGATGTTGTTATTGTTATTCTGGAAAAAGTAACAGTAATCTAATCTGATGTCCGATTTACTAAATACTTTACTATACTGTAAAACAAACAATTTTGAAGGCTAGATGGTGCATCAATATGGAGAAGTTATTTGAGTACTGCGACATAAGTTGAGGTAAGTGAAAAGTTACCCCATTACTGAAAAAGGGTGAGGCGACCGATTGTAATAACTACAGAGGAATCTCGCTCTTGGATGTAGTATATAAAATTTTATCAGCATTGCTTAAAATGAAACTAGAGAAAATTATAGATCCGCAGTTGGGAGATTATAAAGCTGGTTTTCGCAAGGGAAGATCGACAACTGATCAAATTTTGTTCATGAAAGAAGAACTTACCACCTGCTACGAATATAAAATACCAGCAATAATACTATTTATTGACTTCCAAAAAGCCTACGACACGATCAGAAGGAGTGCAGTATTTCATACAATTAATTATTTTGGTATACCTGGAAAACTCATAAACATCACAAGAATGACGATGAGACAAACAAGAAGTATGGTCAAGGTAAGAGGAGAATTGACAGACGAGTTTGAGATTAATACAGGAGTCAGACAGGGAGACCCATTATCTACACTTGTATTTAATATGATCCTAGAAAGAATCGTTATTGAAAGTTAGCTGAATAGATAAGGAAGTATATTATTTAAAAGTCCCCAACTAACTGCCTATGCTGATGATGTTGCCATAATAGCTAGGGATAAAAGGACAATGGAAAAAGTGTTAGAGCAGTTTATACAAGTTGCAGCAAAAATGGGATTGAAGGTAAACGAGGAAAAAAGTAAATTTATGAGAACCTGTTAGGCGGAAACGAGGCTAGAAATAACGGTAAGCACAGGAAAAAAGATTTTTGAGGAGGTGGATGCGTTTGTCTATTTAGGATCTCTAATTAGTATTAAAATAAATGAGGAAGCAGAATTAAACTGCAGAATCGGTAAGACCAATAAATGTGCGGGAATGCTTAACAAAAATATTAAGTCAAGAAATGTATCTAGAGTCTCCAAAATAAGGCTATACAATACGATCATCAAGCCAACCCTTTTGTATGGAGTAGAAACTTGGGTAATTAATAAAAAACTTGAGCAAACATTACTTAGGTGGGAGAGGAAAATGTTAAGGAGAATATATGGAGGGATCAAGGTGGAAGGAATGTTTGTTAGGAGATCTAATGCTGAAATCCATCATCTATATCTATATAATGAACCAAACATAATATAAGTAGCTAGGACCACCACAAGATTGCAGTGGCTGGGGTACCTGGAAAGAATGCCGCAAGAAAGAACAGTGAAGCATATAGCATGGAGAGTTCCGGATACCAAGAAGAAAAGATGGAGACCGAGAGGAAGATGGAAGGATGCGGTTATGGAAGATTTGAGGAGCAGGAATATCAGAGACTGGAAGAAACGAGCACTAGACAAGAAGTGATGGAATAAACTTATCGAGTTAAGAGGGCCTAAAGGCCTGTTTTATAGCTGTATATATAAGTAAAAAGTAGCGAAAAACTACTATTTTTGAAATTTATATAGTGAATCCGAATCGGACTTTTGAAGTGGCCAGCAAAGTACTGCAACATTAAGTCTGGGCAAGTGAAAAGTCGAGAAAGGATTCCAAAGATGTAGCCAGGAAGACGGAAGTATGAAACAATAAATAATTCTTTTAGCTTCTACACAAAAACTTTGAAAGCTAGCTCCTTCTAGAAAAATATGCAAGTGCTTCTCAATGGAATAATTTACAAAATTTTTATTTCGACGGAACCTTCAAAATGCTCAAAATCTTCTCACTTTTTTATGAAAACAAATGAAACTGGTTAAAAATTCACAAGTAAAAATCCGCGCCAAAACTATGTCCTCAAAGTGTGATTCTACTTCTACCATGGCTTTTGTCCAAGTTTTATATTAATTTCGCATATTTCAAACAAGCAGAATCTAGAATTGTATGCTGAAGATAAGCGAATTTTTGTTTGTCCTTTATTCTTCTAACAGGTATGGTGCCTCAAAGCTTATCGGCATATACCGATTATAAATAAAATGATCGGTAAAGGCCATGCTACTTGCATCAAAATACTTATTTATAATGCTTTTTATACATTTCACATGCCCAATCGGTCTTTATCTATTAACCAAAACATGTTTGCAAAAAATTGAAAAAAGTAGGATTTTCTAAATTAGAGAATTTTCTAGAGACGCAGGATTTCAGAATGTTTATGTAAATACAAAAAGAAATTACGCATTTCATTTCACGCCATTATGTTTGTAACAGCCTTAGATATAACTCTTTTCAAAGGCATTTTAATCGTATTCTTCTGAATTTTTGTAGCAACCAGCACACAGATATCATACTACCTTAAGGTGGCACGTCACTTTTTTAGATTCTTTTCAACTCCCTGTTTGCAGCAGGATTCTGAATACTTTTCATCTGATAATTACACGGTGTGTATAGGGATGACTAAAAAACAATGTTTTAATTTTTTTGCATTTTATTGTGCATTTTTTCTTCAATCGGAACTTGTTAACAAATATAAGTACAGCTCTGAAACTGTGTGTGAATATTCCTCTTTTATGGAAGAATGAAATGACTGACTACTTTTGTTCTTATCACTTTTCCTTTTCAAAAAATCTTTGTTTTTCTTGAAGACTCAACTTGCTGGGAGACGAGGCTTCACGAAAACCAAAGATTTTTCGCAAAGGAAAACTGATAAGAACAAAAGCAAAAGGATTTAGAATACTGCTGCAAACAGGAAGTTGAAAAGAAATCTACAAAAAGGGAGGTGCCACCTTAAATAATTGACCTAAAATGTAAAAATTGGCGCCTACTAAAATATGTTTTAATTCAGACCGAATCAAGCAAGTTTCTGTGTCCCACTGTTTCATGAATTGTTTAAAAACAGTACTTTAGGCACATGTTTCACTATGAATATTTACTGTTGTCCGTACCATCAGTATTAACTAATTATTCTTATACATCAGTAACACCTCTCACCCTGGCTACGCGGTAAATAAATATCAAGTTCTATGATAAATACCGATAGATCACTGATCGTGTGACATTCACTTTGTGAACTGCATTTCCATGACATTCCAGATTTTTTGTAACATTATAAATGAAAATCTAAATTTACCTCCTTTTCTACTTCGACTACTTCCTCTTTCGGTTCAACTATGGCTACGTCAGGATTATTGTTTGCGGGCTGTTCCGTTGGTTCCGGACATGGCACTGGTAATTCCTGAGTCACTGGTTTGATTTCCTCTTGGATCGGACTCACGTTGTCCTTTTTCTCTTCTATCACGTCCTTTTCCTTCGGACTCACTATTTCCCTCTTGACGAAGTTCTGAGGGGGATTGCACATCAGCAACATCGTGTTCTGTTGCATTATGTTATTTCGTACCTGAAAAAAGTAAATGCTTAATGAGTGACAATGGAATAAATAGCACAATTTTTCAATTTCCTAGGTAGACAAAAATCATCGATGTGGTTACAGTTAATTTTCAAAATTTGCGATCTCCAAAAAATTATATCGGGACTTTAGATAAAATAATTTGTACACCCCTGGTACTCGGCTATTCCGCGGAGAACGAAACAGGGAAGTAAAGAAAGGAGTAAATAGAAAGTTTTGTGCGATTCCCGAGGATACGATAATTAATCCAGTCAGCGACTCTATCCATCAAAAAATTATTTTGATGCTTCTTACAATTGAGGAATTTGGTGCAAAAATGTGTTGATTTAATTTTTTTGGATTTATTTTAAGATTTGTAGTGGGAATGGTGTTAAAAGGGTGCTTTTTTGGTATATCTTCCGGCCAAAGATGGCTCTCGGTTCTTAGATACAGAGATTCATAAGAGTGTTAACTATATCAAAAACTTTGAAGAGTATTATTTTTTAGGTCAAAATGCAAAAAATACCTATTTGTTCGGGATAATAGAAGCGTGCAATGTTAAGCAGCCCTATGGACTTCAGAGGCATCGTCAGTAGTCATTTATTTATTCTTTTAAAGTAGGAGATAGTCGGCGTGTGTGTAAAGAAGCAGTTATGTCCATATTAGATGTTGGATAGAAAAAGCTGGATTTGATTAGGGATCAAGAATCTAGCGGAAGATCCGTTCTTAAGCAAGATGGAAGGGGCCAACTTACTAGCAGACCCAGAAAAACTTCCGACGAAAAATTTGGTCCATAGGCATATCAGATCATTCCCTGCTGAAGTATCTCATTATTCCCGGAACAATAATCCGAACCGACACTACCTTTCTCCATGGCTATCCATTATCAAAATGTATGCTTTGTATGTAGAAGAATGAGCAAACGAAAATATTGTCCCAGTATCTATCTTTACATACAGGCAAATATTTGTCAATGATTTCAATTTTGGATTTGGTTCTCCAAAGACTGATACAAGTACTGTTTGCGATGTAGGATCGGATGAGCAACACGTTGCAAAGCATAAAAAAGCTCTCGACGTACAAAAATGTGAACGAGGAATAGCAAAAAAAATCTCAGATTTGATTTACAAAAAACGCTTCCCTTGCCCAAAATTTGTACAAGTAAATCCTTTTATTTAGGACAAAGTATGACTTCACAATCTAGGAATACATTTGACATCAACACAGGAACCCAATAGCACGTCTGGACCGAAGACCAAGGAAATCGCGGTCCAGAAGAGATTGGCAACTCACTTATGGCCTTTTTGGAAAATACCAAGGACCAAGGCATGGATTCCCATCATCTGATTGCATGGAGTGATTCGGCAGGTGGACAAAATAAAAAATTTTATATGGTTTGTCTCTGGCATTACATCTCTGGTGTGTTCAAAAAAATTGACCATAAGTTCACTGAAGTAGGACATACCTTCATGGACTCTGATAGAGATTTTGCAGCTGTATAAAAGTCTATAGGAAAGCACCAACTAATTTATACGCTGGATCAATATATTTCAATCACGGTAGAAGCCAGACATTTTTATTCAGAAATGTAGGACGGATCCCGATTGAAGAATTTGATGTAACCAAGTACAGATACTCTTTTAATGAAACGGAAAATCGGAGTATTGTTGATATAAAAAACAGCGAAATCTCGATAGAATGGTAGAAAATAAAACATTATTATTGAATGTCGATAAAAGCCGACCTATTGGGGCCAAAAAATTGATAATACTCAGGAATAAATTTCTTTAATACCAGCAAATTTTAGAGGCTTAGAGGCTTAATTTAAGAAGAGGAGACGATTAGTTAGAGAGTAATAAGAAAAAAGGACATCATTGAATTAACACCTTTCTGCTATTTTCATTTTCCGGACCAAGCAAATAACAGTTTTTTAAAAAGGTGTTAAGTCAGATTTTCAACAACTTTTTCAAATTTCTGATAATAAAAATAATTTTTTAACAAAATTGTCTATTCGAGATACTTTCATATGTGTGCAAAATAACCTTCAATAATAAAAGCAGACCTAACACTATTCAATGAAAAATGTCAGGATTTAAACACATTTTTGTACCAAAGGCTCCAATTTATGTCGGGTGGTTCTGTGCAGAAGTAATGAAATGAACTTTAAGCATTGAACCCGGCATTAACAAACTTGGTTTGCAAAAGTTAAATATACAACATGAGAGTGAGAATACTACATACCCCTGGATCTAAACTGATTTCAAATATGGGGACCAAGTATACGTGAGGTACCTCAGCGCAACACATATGAGGAAAAAATCCACACACACAAAATATAGACCTACGTATTCAGCACGCACTTGTTTGTACCTTACATTTGATTATCGTCTGATTCAAGTCACTACAAAGTCGTCCCTCAAATATTCACTACCATGTCAATTAGCCAATCATCTACTCTAACTATTGTCACGTGTTACCCACACATGATCCCATTAAAATTAGCAAAATCCCATTGGATCTGCCCACCAGACTTCGCCTTTGCACTACTGCGCACGATTTGCGAAATTGTTTGCAAGAAAGCATGGTATATTGAAACAAATTACGTGGTAACGAGATCTCTTATCTAGACCGTTATCAAAAACCGAAAAATATGCAAAACTTTTCTTGACCTTTATATTCCTTATCTAAGGTTGTTTACAAGGAAAAAATAAATATCGCTGATAGCGGAGTAATGAGGAAGCAAGCTTAACGAAAGGTACCACAATTTGCAGATAATTACTGTTTCAAAAAATGCCCTGCAATTGAATCGGTCATGTCACACAATATGAATTTTTCAAAGTCAAGAAAATTTATTCGTCGTCAAACTTTTTTAGATTTGATCTGGTTATTCATGTTTTGAAAGATGGAAAATCGAATAACTGTCACCAGTCACCGTCTATTAAAGATAATACAGGAAAAAGTCCCATAAACTTTTCATATGTTGTTTGAGCAATAGAGTAAATGGTATCTAACGTAGGCAAAAGAATCAGATTGATCATGATTTTTATTGCTTATTATTGAAAATTACACTTAAATATTGTCTTACTAATTTTGAATGTTTCAATTGCGGACATAGGGGGAATTTCTCGTGTTTACAATCAATGTGTCGGCAATCGGTTATAGAAAAGCCCGCGTGGTTATTTGACTAACAGATTTTGCAAATAGGTGTTATGATTGTGTGATTCCATTTTTATACCACCTATACAGCATTTTGAAATATTTAGGGTATATTTACAGGGCTTCTGACACAAATGAATAGGATTGAGTCAATGATTTGATTGGGAACAAAAGGGCTAGAATAAATGATTTCGAGCAAGATGGATATTGTATTCAACCTTATTTTTTATCGTTATTAAATTTAAAATTGGTATTTTGATGCACATAAATATGAAAAGAGTACAAATCAAGGATTGTGGTACTGTTTTTAAAGTCACTCGCCGTCGAGTGGATCATACAAAAAGAACTTGACTTACAGGTATGTATGTTATTTAAAGGGGAACGGGTGTATTGACTTTCCCTTTAAGGAAGCGTTTACTGTGAAAAAATGGGACAATATGTGACTTAGATGGTTTTTGATATAACCGATTCAATTTCAGGTACAGTGAGCAACCCGAATTTTATAGCAAATATCCTGGGTGAAATGATATGTCGAATGATTCGTAGCTGTATATTTCTACTCATGAGCGAGGGGGAGTCTTGTCACGAGAATTTTTAAATTCGGACTGACAGATACTTGTAACATATTATCCTCAAACTATCTATCCGCGTTTTTGTAACCGCGTGATCTCCGAAACTGATGCGTCTATTTTGATAGTTTCTGGGCGCAATGTGAGCTAAGCTACGCCATGATAGATATTTGTATTATTATTGAAAATAGCTGTAGTTGAGAGCGGACTCTAACCAAGAATAAAAATGTTTCAAACATATCGCAAAGTTCGCTTTTGTTTTACGATTCGGTCTTTTGTGAGCATGGGAAAATTTTCTAGATGGGTTCAGCATTCGACAGGCTTTTACGTTTCTGATCATTTTGATGTCAAGTTATTTTTTGAGACGTTTTGCAAAGTGAAGCCTCTTTTTAGAGCACGTATGAATAATACCTTCAAAAAATAGTTGAGTATCTAAATTCTGTCAAATATTTTTAAAGATTAATTTTTCTTTGTTACCAGACTGTATAAGTTACATTGTTGCACTGTTTTACGCTTGCGAAGTTGGAGGAAACCATTGTTTGAAAAGTCACGTTTACACACACTTCAGCTTCAAAAACGTACATGTCTATATTTATTTGAGATTTTTTTGAGAGTAGAAAAGTCGTCTAAAGCTAATTGTTTAGACTATTTAAAAACATATACTTCTCCGAATTATCACTCGTTTAGTATAATTCAGAGATTATTGAAAAGAGGTTAAAATTGTGATCTAATACCAATAGAGTCCAGTAAATCTTGTAAAACGACTTCAAACATTAACGTGTTAGAGACTCCATTTGGCATACATAGATATTAGATTAGACAAATATGATATTTAAATTGGTATTTATTTGATGGTGTGAATATTTTGCAGATAATAATAATACATATTTCCAAAACATCACAAACTTAAACATCTATTCTCATTATTACGACCGTAACTGTTTTCCTTGACGGTAAAAAACAATTACAGTGAGCCATAAAAACCACCGCTTCAATGCAAAACTGAGGAATTACCAGGTATTGCTTATTTAACATAGCTCAAGCTGAAAGAAGTATAAAATTGTGAGAATCAAAATGAGAGAGAGAAATTCCAAAGTTTCACCTTTCAGGCAAAAAGGTCTTAACTACTCCAAAAAATAGTAGAAAATTCGATAGGCCTACCAGAAAGATTTTACTTTTTTTAAACTTAACTACGCTCACAAAAAGGAAGTTTGGAGAAGTTTTGTGTATTTAATACTTGCTTTTCGCTGATAATTCCGGCTCGAATACCGATTCAAAAAATTATTCCTATAATTCCACTACAACGTATTTTTTTATCAAATATCGTGAAAGCCAGACATGATAAGGATTTTTTAGAAACAACCGAAAAAGCAACTTCTTCTTTACCATTGCTGTAGCTTTGTTTATAAAAAAGCAAAAAATCTAATCATTTGGTACTCAAAAAGAAGATGGCCGGAGAAGTTTTGAAAGCTTGATATCTCTGTAGTAGCTCTAAATTCGCTTTGCTCTCATCTTTTCCTCTTGTGCGAAATATTGAAAAAGTGAAGACCGGTTCTTTTACAGTATTTCCATTCCGACTTTTTTTGTGGTAAAAATAGCGCATATGGCAAATTAAAATAGAAGTCATTTATGTATTTTGCGTTTTTTTATGATAAAGACTTATGATATTGAGCACGGGTTACTTCAACACTGATATATGGAAAATCATTCATTGACTCAGTCATTTGATAGTTGTGCCATCTACCTGGAATGCTAAGACGAAATGCTTTTAAAATCACTACTGCTATATATCTCGACGTGTTCCAATTTTTATTTTACAACATCGTAGTTTTGCTGCTCGACGTGCCATAATATTGGAAAAGTGACACAAGTCTTTTGGTTATATTTCTTATATCATTAGTCTAAACCTTTGTTCATTCTTTAATGATAAATTAAATCAGATAAAACTTCCAACTATATTGTATATAATTCAATGACTTACCCTTTTCAATAGGATTAATAGGTTCGGCTGTATTCTAAGAATACGCGAAATCATGCACTCCTATAGCAGATAATACTTTTCTTCTATTTTCAATATGACGGCGCGAATGGAAAATATACGAAGTAGCAAAGTGAAAATTCAGAAACCGAACGTCGCAATCTATGGGGGTTTTAACCTTTCAAAGCTACCAAATGATTGGAACTAAAATAAAAAATTAGAAAAACTGGTAGTGCTCACCATAGCCTTTCCAATCCTAGCCTTCCTCTTCTTCTCTTTCCCATCTTGGTCAGTTCCCGTCGTGGGCGCTTGGTTCCCTTCCGGCTGCGTAGGCTCCTCCCTCTTAGGCGACACTTGCACCGTAGCACCGCCTCCCACCAACGTGGGTGGCGCTTGCGGCTGTGCCTGCGCGGGCGGCGGCTGGTGATAAGTCGCTCCCGCAGGTGAAGGGGGCGGAGGCATCCCTGCTGACCCTCGGGCGGGGCTCGGAGGTCCATGGGCGGACGCTGGCTCCAAAGGTAGTGCCAAAGCGACCGGCGGCAGCGGCTGTTGTTGCTGCTGTTGCTGTTTGGACGAGTTGGTCGACGACCTCTTACCGTCAGCACCAGTAAGAGGCCCAGCATGGCCGTTTTTTGGACACGACTGGATTGGGCACGGGCACGACTGATATGTGGCGTCTAAGGGAAATACAGAGGGGCTATAACCTACAGGAGATATCGATAGTCCATTTGAGCTATGTAATAATAGTATCTGAAGAAATGAATAGAAGATGAGGTAAAATCTATTGGGACCGGCCGCAAACGGTACCATTTCCTAAGCTGGAATCCGTATCCGGAATTCTATGGACGCACGTACCGAAAGTAGGTCTCTCTTGGGAATAGAATTGATATTTGGCCTATAATCCCTACGTTGGAGTGAATCCAGAGAATTTTAGATGAGGATTCCGACTTTAGAAATCAAATTAGGACGCCGTACCGTGTGTGACTGCCCTCGACAGACTAACTACTTATATACGTAAGCCAAATTAAAAAATATTAAATTTGTTATAGATAGTAACAAATTACATGAATGATATGGACGTAATTTGAGATCAGAGGTCTCCATAAAAAATAACCCGAGGGTGCTAGCGAGAAAGTACTATAAGTAGTTCTCCAAGAAGTTCAGATCAATAAAAGTTGCCAACGCGCACGAGAAATCGTCAAAAACACTTAGTCGACGAAACTGTTTGACTTTTGTTATTCGGCCGGAATGCCTGTGATTTTTTTTTATAAAAAAAGATTGCACTGTCCAATATTCGTCCTTGTCATAAATTTCGGTCGGACATATTCAATCATGAGATGGAGAATTTGCAACAAAAAAATCTGATCTAGCCTTTTGACTAATCTTCAAAATCCGAGCATGGAATATGGCCTAGTTTTTCAATTTAACTTTCTGGTTAGTTAACTATAATCAGGAAGTTAACTTATAATTGTCTGCAAATGCGTTAATAAAGTTTTGTAAAATAGTCGAAATTAGAATAAAACCTTCGTCAATCAAGGTAGAGTTTTTCAAACATTGCTTGCACAAATGTTTAGTAGTGGACCCTATACACTGGATTGTGGAACTGGTGTTAAAAACAGGTGGAAAATACAATGTCTCATCAACATAACATAGGTCTAAAAAATACAATTAGGTTTGTAAATATCTGTTATATATCCTATTTGCCACCTTTTTTAGTATCACTTGTGAATGTATGTCAGATAAATTAAGGTCTACAGCAGCGAAGAAAAAAATACGGCTACTCCTGTTGCTAAAATTTATCAAAAACTTTTATAGCATGGAGAAGAGAACATCAAAAAAGCTTAAATTTTCTCAAAATATGGGGAAATAATGTTAGTATCATTGATCAGTAAAGAGAGAAAAAAAGTGGCACAGTTTCCTGGAACGAGAAAAGTTCGGTTTATACAGACCTTTTTCTCTGGCATGGAAATCCAGGTCGTCAAATTAATTAATGATTCATTCTTTTTTGCTTTCTTGCGTTTTCATCTCTGCTATACGCATCCACGTCGTAATCCATAAACATGTTTCAGCTTTAATTTATATTACCGATCAATTGATCTGAATTTGTCAATTTTTGAATAAATGCCAAAGTCTGTGTCATCAAATCTCTGATACTGCTATTTAACTATAGCCTTCCTAGTTAAGATGGTCTTCTGGTTTAAGTTAACTACCTTTTTACAATGAACATGATATTTTGATACACAACTATAAGTTAACACCAAAGTCGTAGTTAATCTGCGGCTGAAATATCGGTCCTTAGTATCATTATGTCTACAGTCACTAACATCATATTATGAACCATACCATGATTTTTATGTTTAAAGGCATCGATTATTTAATTTACGGCGAACCAACAAGAGTAAATTCTTCTTGAGCCTGGAATATAAATACTCACTGATGTAAGGTATTCCCCTGGAGGCGGCTGCCGGCGAGTGGGTGTAGCACGGTGGTGGTGGAGGCGGTCCATATGCAGGCGCGTAATAATGCTGGGGCGGCGCCGGTTGGTACGCCTCAACCAATGCGGCTTGGTGGGGCGGTCCACCGGCCGCGTATGTGTCAACCAAGGGCGGAGGTGGACCACCACCCGTTGGGGCGGACACGTACGACGACCCGGTACTGCCTGTTGAAAGGGTCGAGGTGCCTGACGCTGGAGCGGTGACCACCTTGAAAGAACAATATCAAATGCATCAGGGAGATTTCATTTTTTTGAACAAACATTGGCTTGACAACTAAGCTCCTTTTTGGAACAGTGACTGGTGCGTAGTTTGGAAACATAATATTAAAGCGATTTTTTTTAATTTTTCGCTGCTTCACCACACACTTGTTATTTCAAACGTAGTTTGAAGAGGAAAGTCTAACGACACCCTGTATGGAAAACTTGAGAAGCAGAGCTTTTAAAGACTTTCACATTTGAAATGATGTGCCTAAATTTGGTTCATTTAATCCTGACAATATTACGTTTTTTTTCAAAATAGTTTCCAGAAATTTATCCTAAGGTCAATTTATTGTAGAATAAATCGTTAGGCATACACCCATTAAGATTCGAAAGTCAACTTACCTGTTGACTCTGTTGACCAACAACAGCCGGCGGTACCGGCGGGGGCGCGTACACATCCCCAGCCGTACCATAATACTGGTGCGTGCCCAAATACCGCCTATACTGGTACTTATGCACATAAGCCGGCCCTGGCGAATAGCACAGCTCATGTGGCGGCGCCGCACTGTACTGCGCTGCACCAGGGGGCGGAGCGTAATGATAGGTTGCAGGGTAGGAATACGGATAACTGGGAGGTGGTGGAGGGTACTGGGAGGGGGCGTATCGGTAGGAATGCGGTGGGGGCGGTGGATGGTGGGAAGAAGGCACACCCAGTGGGGGCGGGTCTTTGCTGCTGATGCTTCCTGCGCTGCCACAACCCGTTGTTACTGATGTTATTATCACCTGGAAGAAACGAGCAATCGTGGAAAGGAAACTAACATTAATATCTCGAGAGAATGTTTCCGAAAACTGCCAATAGTGCTACGACAAGTTGTGTACAGATTCGCGAAAATCATTATTCCTACACAGTGAATAAGATTGATATCTCGCCAGGTTCACCTAAGGCGTGTATTCTAAATTACTTATAAATCATCACTTTGATCGTATTGTAACAAGAATGAATAGTACTGTTGGTGCCACCTGTTGAGGACCGTGCCAGTGACTCGCCTTTTAGATCGACACGGAGTGACCTCGACGCTTCTGGAATGCCGCTATGTGGCTCACCGGAATCGTCTCGAATCCGGTGAAGAGAGTAGAGTAGAGCAGAGTGGAGTATGACTCGACATACGAATTAGTCAGACATAAATAGCGGTGTACATAAATGTTTTATCCAGCCAAGTTAAATAAATTAATGCATTCCTTTTTGTGGAATCCAGTGTTTTAATCCACACCCAAAAGAACCCAGAAAATGCGACAGTATGAAACATATTTACATTAGTCGTGGAACATGGTACGCAATTCGCACTTCTAGCTCTTCAGAAAATATGCAAATACAAGAAAGAAGAGCGTAATGATTAATTTTAACAAACAATGATCTTAATCAATAAATAAGAGTTAACAATTACTCAAAACCTTCAGGTTGAAATTTCATGATAGCATAAAGCGTCAAGAGTGATAACTTGACTGAATTTGGAACTTGACATAAAAATGCGTGCAACAATGACTAAAAACTACTCGCCCCGTCCATCAACTAAAAGTGATATATTTTCAATTAAAACAATATCACTCGGTAGACTACATCCTTGTTGACAAGCGTCAAATAATTCGAGCATTGAGGATGTTTTGTATTGATCTGTTTCGCTGTAAAGTCAAGTATTTAAACACTTATCCATAAGTTCGGGTGAACGTGTTTGACGCTGGAAACACATGAAAACGCCACCTCATATGCAAAAGGACAACTAAAATTTTCGGTGTAATTACGAGCGGGATTTTTGCCCTGCGATATGTGTGACTTACGCATAGTAATAACACAGAAACATTATTAAACACGATGTTTTTAACACACATGCTTCGAAAGTTGGACTGTAGCCATTATAACTTAAAATGGAAGTACTGAACTGAGAAATCTCACCTCACTATCACTGGAATCCCCATTCGTAGACCCTGCACCGAGTCCTGGAGTAGGATTCGTAGGCGGAGCAACGTCGTGCGCAGATGTAGAGGGCGTGGTCGAAACGGGCGATCCATCGGATAGCGGGACGCTTTTGGTAAGAGGCGGCTGTGATAGAGGCGGTTGACCGCCCCCTGGGTGATGTGCCGCCCCGGGGACTGTGATCAGCGGACCGGCAGGCTGGTAGTAGCCGGCTGGAACAAAAAGCGACATTAATTAAGATGATAAAATGCAAATAAAGTTATAAACAGATCCTTACCGCGGAATAAACCTATAAATAATAACAGGTGAGCTAAGTTATAATCAAAATCAAGGGGTTCGTAAATGGTACGAAAACTTGAGACAAATTTGTAATCTTCAATCACCATGACCATCTGTAAAGTGAAATAGTTTCATCCTGATACCCTGTTTGGTTGATTGACATTTGAACTAGCCATCCTTCTCAGAACATTGTGCTATTACTGCACTGCCTCACTCCAATTGCGTTATTCTGAGTTCCAACATATTGTTCACGTGCTATCGCCAGTTGCATACTATACAACCTTTGAAACACGTGGACACTTGATATTTCAACTGATTGTGAAATGATGGTGAAACCCGCCGTTCCTCAAATGGACTGTCATTCATATGTGCTAAAAGGAGCCTTTCTGCATCTTTGACGTAAGGGTTGATTACGCTTTGGCACACAAGATAAGAGTAGTCGCCTCCTTGTATACGACCTCCTGAGACTTGATTCTAACCAAGTTTCGATACTTAAAATTATTTTCGTTGTCGCCAAGCTGGCGTACACATAGACCTGATCCTGGTTGATATCTATATTCAACTTATCATTAACAGGCCCCTGGAGTTTTTCACTATACCACAATGTGTGTTTTATTTGCCTTCCGTTGTTCATCCCAGAGATCTATACCGTACTGTTAACAAGCACAAAATGGCGCCATATACGGTTGTCCACATGGATGGAAAGCAAACACATTCACTTGAGACGTTACTGTTTTATTATCTTGAATTTTTGTCTTCCTAACCCTATCAGAAAATATAACCGAACGGTTTGACGAATTTGGTGACAGATTTATCCAGAACGAATTGATCCGGGATATTTACTCATATGGGGAGCAGTTCAGCAATTTTCTCACCACATATTTCTGCCACAGCCCTCTCGATTCATCATTCGAGCGTCATTTATGTGCCCAGACAGAAATAAACGAGCATCGAGACCTGCCACAGGTCATCCCATATATTACCCCGTACTACAACAGAATCGACAGGTCATTATTTCCACGCAGCAATGAAAAACATTTCAATTAAATTCCCGAGTCGCTAATTGCGTCTACATCCAGGATCCGGGAGAGTAAACATAGACTTTACGACCAATAACTTTGGTGTCAGGGTCATCAGCTCGGCAATATGGCGACAGAGATGGATTTGCATAGCAACACTGTCTCAAGACAGTCAAGTTAGTCCAACAATTCTAACTCGAATAGATTAGGAGCTGAGCCTATGTTTGCATTGGATTTTTTGTCGCTAAGATTGTGTAGTTCTAGTGCAGTGGTCTCTAACCCTTTCAGTGTGGTGAGCTACTTTGATAAGTTTGGAATAAACAGTGAGCTAACTATTCGTAAGCAATGTAAGCCAACTTGAACCAAATTTTACACAGTTGTATGCGACATACATGTGTTTATTTTATCAATACGAATAATGGGTGATTTTTTTGCTAGTATAATAATAATAATAATAATAATCGTCTTTATTGACCAAAAACATGGTACATTACATGGGGCGAGATTTAGCACCTGCTATTCCACCATCTAACCCCGTACAAAAGTGAAAAAAAAAACAAGTTATACAAAAACAAACAAAAAAAAATGTGAAACTACAAACATTAAGTCACAGTATAATAGGACTATTTATGCCAATTTAGCTATAAAAAGAAGAAGAGATAATAGGTTACATTATAATAGGACTATTTGTGCCAATTTAGCTATAAAAAGAAGAAGAGATAATAGGTTATGAAGAAACGGAAAAATAATTAATGAAAAATACAAAAAGTATGAAAATGAAAGAACTTCTTAAGCTAGCGGTTGTTTTGCAATTCTTGTAAATATCTTTTTAACTGAGTTTTAAAACTCCGGGAGGACTGGATAGTCTTCAGATCCTGGCTTAAGCTATTGTAATATAAAATTGCATTGTATGTGAAAGTTCGTCTAAAAAGTGATGTGCGGTGTATTGGCATAGTTAAGGTGTCACGGTTACGAACCTGAAGATTATGCACAGATGCCCTTGGAACAAGTTTACAGCTGAGGTATTGAGGGGATGATGTTTGTATGATCCTGTGAGTAAAGCTGATAATGGAGTATTTGAAAAGGTTTTGAACGCTTAGCCATGCAAGATTACGATACAAGTGTGATACATGATCGAACTTTCTTAGGCCCTCGATAAACCGTACACAGGTATTCTGCATTATCTGCAAACGTTTTGCGTTAATAGACGTCAAACATGGGTAATATATGGATAAGCCATATAACATTTTAGAAATAACTAAACTTTGACACAATTTAATTTTGATGTTTCTATGCAGAATATGTTTGTTTGCAAATAGAAGCCTGAGAGATAGATAACATTTTTTCAAGACATTATTCAGATGGGAGTTAAACCGTAAGTCCGAGTCAAAGTGAATGCCCAAATTTTTTACTATTTCAGAAAAAATAATTTCCTCCCCATTAACTTTGATGTGAATTAATGGTTTAAGGTTTTCACATAATCTTTTATTGCCAAATAATATAGCAGAACATTTTGAGGGATTTAGTCTCAAGTTGTGAGAGCTGCAGTACCTATTAACACTATCCAGATCCGCATTTACTAGCATCATGGACTCCTGGACATTGTCGGCATTAAAATCACACTTCATCTGCGTATCATCAGCAAAAAATTGAGCATGTGTATTCTTGAAGTTATCATGTAAGTCTGCAGTGTAAAGTAAAAACATCAATGGTCCCAGTACTGAGCCTTGTGGAACACCTGACTGAATGTACCTTGGTGTCGAAATTTGATTATTGATATTTACTTTTTGCCTACGTTCCCTTAAATATGACCTAATAAAGTTGCAGGCAACTTCATCGAAGCCATAGTAGTGGCACTTGGCAACAAGCAGTCGATGGTTAAGCGTATCGAAGGCCTTGGAAAAGTCTAACAGTACCAGCAAGCTCATGTTTTTACTGTCGATGGAAGATATGATGCTATCAATGAGATAAGACAAGGCTGTAGTTGTACTGCGGTTTTTCTGAAAGCCTGATTGATGGGTGGCAACACTGTTTTTGACAGATGACGCGTGAATCGGGTCTTGTGTTATTGTCAAACTTGTTCAGTTTGGTCTATAATTTAACCATGAATCGACTTACGAACGAACAACGCTTGCAAATTATTGAATTTTACTATCAAAATTCATGCTCGGTTAAGAGAGTGCATCGAGCACTGCTTCCAATTTATGGGCAATTTGGTCGGCCTACTGAGGGAGCTATTCGGAAGCTTGTGACTAAATTTCGAACCCAGTTTACATTATTGGACATTAAACCACCAACACGCAGACGTAGAGTGAAGACTGAAGAAAATATTGCGGCGGTATCCGCCAGTGTTAGTGATGACCGTGAAATGTCGATTCGCCGCCGTTCGCAGCAATTGGGCCTCGGTTACTCCACTACGTGGAAAATTTTGCGACAGAATTTGGGTGTAAAACCTTATAAGATACAGCTGGTGCAAGAATTGAAGCCACACGACCTCCCACAACGTTTCCAATTTGGTGAATGGGCGCTGGCAAAGTTGGAGGAAGATCTACATTTTTATCGAAAAATTGTGTTCAGCGACGAAGCTCATTTCTGGTTGAATGGGTACGTTAACAAGCAAAATTGCCGCACCTGGAGTGAAGACCAGCCAGAAGCATTGCAAGAGCTACCAATGCATCCCGAAAAAATCACTGTTTGGTGTGGATTATGGGCCGGTGGCATCATCGGGCCGTACTTCTTCAAAGACGACAATGGCCGGAACGTAACTGTGAATGGCGAGCGCTACCGTGCGATGATAACAAACTTTTTTTGTCCAAAATAGAAGAGCTGGACTTAGCTGACATGTGGTTTCAACAAGACGGTGCTACATGCCACACCGCACACGAAACAATGGCCCTACTGAGAGGCGAGTTCGGTGAACAGTTTATCTCACGTTTGGGGCCCGTCAATTGGCCGCCTAGATCGTGTGATTTAAGGCCGTTGCACTATTTCTTGTGGGGTGTGGGGCCATGTTAAGGCTAATGTCTACAGGGATAAACCAGCAACGATTGACGCCCTGAAAGCCAATATTGAAGCATTTATTCGTGAGATACCGGCCGATATGTTGGAGCGAGTGTGCCAAAATTGGACCTTGCGCATGGGCCATCTAAAGCCGCGGCCAACATTTACATGAAATAATCTTTAAACATTAAATTATATCGACCGTTCTATCGACTCAAATAATGATTTAATCGTTTTTTCAAATTTTTTTTTTTATTTTGAAAATCAAATCCTATACCTCTTAAAAAATCACCCGTTACATACCCATAAACTTAAATAAACTAATAACAAATACATACTACATAACTAAATCCATTCCTACCGATCGTAGGTGTTTGAAAAATAAACAAAATTTTCGTCAGCTACAATGGCATGTCACATACGATTTAATAAAGGTAACTAAAACTAAAAAAAACCAACGCACTATTTTGAACAAAAACATGTCCAGATAAAAAATGCGTGTGCAATGAGAAGCCTGACACTTAGACTCATTGACAATTTTTTTAATGTTTGGAGTATAATTAGGTTCCGCCATTCGAATACAATTATCCAAATGTTCATCTGTAAGTCGATTACGGTATTTGTTTTTAATAAACTTCATATTTAAAAAAAAAAGATTCACACACATAGGTTGAACTAAATAACGCTTTCACTTCCAAGGCAACACGACATAAAACTGAATATGCATCTTTACTAAATGAAAGCCAAATTTTGTATTTGAGACTAATGATTTTGAAGCGAAATCATTTGAAACGCAATCACTTCCATTTCTGTCGCAGCGATGTCTTCGCTAAAATTCTGCGTAATAGAAGTTGCAAATTGATGGATATCAATTCCCATGAAGGGCGAAGAAACAAATTGCGCCACTATAGCAATTTCGTTGAAATCCAAACGATTTTTGAAGTTATCCCTCAAGTTAGAGACTATTTCTACATGATATTTACTGTCATATGGTTCTAATGGACTTTGATATATATTTTACGAAAGAACAGGAAAATGCCTGGTATCGCCATCTACACTACAGCTTCGTAAAACGCCTGTTTTATCATTTCCCCGTCTTCATAAGATTTCTTCTTCTTCTGGTAATTACATGGGACACCCATGTTGATTAATTTGATATTTATATTTTTTTGGGGTATTGAGGTTCCTCCATAGATCTCGAAACAATGAGAGCGTAAAATTACTACTTCTAACGTGAAATTATCTTTCCCGAAAACTTTTAGATTCCAAATTAATGTAGCTTAGTTAAAGTTTCAGTTGGTCCTTATCCATCAGAAGAATTGGTTTGTCTCGAATATTTTGCATTTTTCAATGTTGTTAGATATACAATTCTTTCAAGAAAAATTAGATTGGGCCTAAGGGTCGTATCGTCAGCCGTTCTTACAATAATTGAAAGGACGCGTTTATGTAGGCCATACAATAGTAGGGACGACTGACGATGAGGCGCTAACTACTACTTCAACGAAACAATAAATGAAATGAAATAAAGCAAAATTACCTCACAACTGTCTAGGTATAATCCCAATGTTGAGGCTCTTATTCAGTTTAAACTGCTTAAATAGTGGACAAGGTTACAACCTTATAGAGATACATCTCAACGATTGGAAATGAACTGAATTGGGTCCTGTTGAACTATTTGTTTGTCCCCGTTATAATGACACCGACCGACCGACAACAAAATACCGGATTGTGGTGCACCGCAGTATAAATATATTTCCAGAACGTCGCGACGCATCGGCTACGAAAAACAAAAACAAATACACTTTACGTGAAAACAAACACGCTATTATGTCATGACGTTGAAGTGGATGAGATGTGTTGTCTCTTTCTGCTTTCATCTTTCAACACAGTCCGGAATTTATGGCCTCTGTAGGATTGGTGAAATATGACAATTTCAAGCACCAGGAGAAACCTGCTTTAGTTTTTTTTTTGCATACATACATACATACAGTTGCACGCTCTATAAGAGGAAGGGAAGTGAAGAAAAGAAAAATTATTATTGCCGCTGGGTTCAATTAGAAGATATTAGATTACAAGGAGTTGATTCACAGACCTAAAGCTCATGTGGATCTATTATATTTTCTCTTTTATGCTTCCCAAAGCACCGTATCCAGGTTGATCTTTCAACAAGTTCTCGACACCTCCGCGTATGGTGAGGGAGTAATATTAATGATAAATAATTATCAGTTTACTTTGGTTGTATGTTTATACAGGGTGTTTCAGTTTATTGTTGCATAACTTTAAGATTCGATAGAACTTTTAAAATTAATACATAAAGTCTATATAAACATGGGTCGAAAAATGCGTGGCTTCCGAAATACAGGTTGTTTAAATTTACTTTCTAAAATAGTTTTTTTTTAAATATTTCGAACAATATTTGATGTATAACAGTGAAAATTGGTATACAAGGGTTTTTTGGTACGACAAAATGAACCATGGGCATAGTTTTACTGTAGCCGCTAGAGGGCGCTCTCTACTGTACCTGTAGTGTATTAAAATGACCGAAAATTTTTTCTTAGTGCAATTTTTTGCTTTTTGAATAAAAATACTGATTCTTCGCACTTCTCAACATAAAAAAGCTCTCCCTTGAGTTTTCGTTATAGTTAGCCGTTTTTGAGATATTTTGATTTTTAAGGTTCGATGCATTTTTAATTATTTATGGGAAAATAATATTTTTTTTACATTTTTGATTTGGGCATTACAAGTAATTAAGATGATCGTTTAGATTGTGTTTTTAAACACAGCATTAATTCCTAACTCCAAATAAACACAAAAAAACAAATTTGTTTAATTTTCAAATACTATTTTTAACAACTTAATTATTTACAACTAAAATGCTATTGGATAGTTAGGACAAAGATACAAAATCTAAAGTAGTTGCTCGAAATGTAAACTCAATTGTTCAATACACAATTCACATCTACGAATGATCGAATGTGGTATAGCATTATTCAAATAAGGCCTTATTTCATCACATGCATTCCTGATTCTGTCTATTAGCATATCTCTTGTGGTTACGGGAGTCTGGTACACTTTTTCTTTTAGAAATCCCCACACAAAAAATCTAATGGATTTAGGTCAAGGGATCGTGGAGGCCAGGCGACTGGTCCTCCACGGCCGATCCATCTTTCTGGATAATTTTAGTCCAGCCAGTTTCTAACTATTCTCGAATAATGAGCTGGACAACCATCAAGCTGGAACCAGGCTAATCTTTTTAAATCTAACATAACATCATCCCAGATGTTTATATAGACTTTATGAATTAATTATAAAAGTTCTATCGAATCTTAAAGTTATGCAACAATAAACTGAAACACCCTGTATAGTCTAGTGGTTAGAGGTATAGAAAGGAGAGAGGCTCTAGCATAAATGAGCAAGACAAGAATATGTGGTAGATCAAGTGTATTTATTATTGGTATTCCCAATACCACGAATTATTCCCGTATTTTTCGGCATTTAACAAACAAGATTCCAGGGCCTTGACACCTCCGCCTGTGAAGTCGTAATAAACGTTAACAATTATGTCCAGGCCATACAGGACATTTCGATGCACCGAAGACGCAACCGATTGTGTACGTTATATCAAATGGCTAAAGAGATGCAAGGGAGAGAGGCTGACATAACGGGGTACATTGGGTACCGCGTCCTGGCGCTGAAAAGGTAGTTACCAAGTGCGCGTCTATTTATTTTTGGTATTTCCTAGAACTTGAGTTTTTCGCGTATTTTCGTTTGTGAGGTAAGAAAGTGCGATAGAACTCCTACCCGCCTGCTTCAATTTCGTGCGATTTATATTGTGTCGTTAAGTACCCTGAAAAACTTAAATCGACATTTTCAGAGCGCCTTAGAGGTCTTAGTTGTTTGAAAAGTAATTTCTGCGTGTGCCGCCCTTTCATGAACGTGAACCGACGCGGCGTGTAAAACGTGTAGTGAAACATTTGGTCGAAACAATATCCAACGTGTGGCTGGGCATACGTAGAAAAGTCTTGCGAGACGTGCGGTTAGCCATCTCCAAGTAGATACCTTGACTTGACGTAAAAGCGAAATGAACAATTTCATACTCATAGATCTCATAGATTTCATAGGTATATGGGATATATGTACGTATTTTCAACCATTTTTTAAATCTATCAATGTTTTCCATTCTGTATGTCGATATCTTCATCAACGACTAGGTATGACGGTCACTGGTGTAGAATTGTTTATATATGGCAACTGTTTTGTCTCTAGGAAGGCATAGATTATAAAAAGGGTCATGCCTGAAGTTCGTATTTGCTACATTTTTTTGAAAATCTTGTTCATTTGCACATTTGTTACACAAGTGTTGGTAACAGTTCTATTCAGATTCAGGACAATCTCAATCTATTCAAGGAATAGCCACTATGACCGACACCACCGCCTATGATGAGGCAATAAATATTAACAATCATGCTCAGGATATTTCGATACAACCATCCATGATGATCTTCCGTATTCTGTGTAGAACTGGTCTCTATTACCGGAAGAATTGCAGAAATCGGTAAGTATATCGGCATCATCTAAAAACCGCCGTTGATGATGGTTTGCTCATGTGAGATATTCAATACCAAAAATGCAACCCACTGGCAGCCTTTTGATCGGTATCAACCATTAAGAGGCCATTTACCTTACAGTGTTCACACGAGACAGCACGACTTTAGAATAATCCTGTAGGTTATAGCTATTGCTTAAAATAAAAACCTATGCAATAATTGTGTAAGTATATGTCGCGTAGAAAGCGCCTTCCATATCTTCAGTAATATTTCCAATGTATATAAGTACAGCTCAAAAACTAAATCGCTGCACAATGTCTGACAACATCGTTACTTTCTGCACATATTCCTTTGCTTTGCACTTTTTTGCTGGGCGGACAATACTAAGCGCCGTATCGTCAGTGGTTCCTACAATTGCTGGACGCCTTTATAGCCTTCTTGATTTTCATAGAATTTTCTTTCCTTCAAAAGCATGAAAAAACTGGTGCAAATTGTAACAAAACCTCAAAAAAGAGCGGTGTCACGGAACAGTAGAAAACTATAAAACTAAGTTTCAAGAGCTCAGTATCTTCTCAATAGGCCGATGAATGAATTTACGGACTTCTTTCAAAACTGTCATCCTTTAATTATCTATTTTGCCTGTTTCTGTACTGTTCTGTCATTCCTAACTTTTTATTGGTCCCTTATGCGTATTCAAGCCAAAAGATGATTAAATAGCCTTAGACCTATGAAGCATCCTTCCAAGTTAACTCATCCACCATTTTATTTCATTTGTGCCCCTTGTGCCTTGGTGTCCAGAGTATAATTGGTTTCCTAGTACCACTGGACGTGTTCCACCTCAGGATATCCAATTAAAATAGGCATTAATTAGAGAAGTCAACAAGAGATTGAAGAGCCAAGCCCCATCCATGAGAGGTACCTGAATCAGCGGTATCTATGAGAAAGGAGCAGAACACAAACATGAATTTTTAGTGTTCGGTTCTGCTTACTGACTCATAGATGGCGCTAGGATCTTGAATCCCTAATTGGCGCCTCGCTAATGCCTATTTCAATTGCGTATCTTCAGGTGGAATATGCCCGAAGATACCCAATCAAAATAGGCATTACAGAGGCAAATATGGGATGGAAGCTCGTAGCGCCATCTATGAGAGAGTAGCAAGCACCAAACATACTAACTTTCTAAAGCAGATTCCTAAATTCATATTTGTGTTCTGTTACTGACTTATAGATACCGCTGGCATCTTTCAAGTCCCTTTTTGGGCACCGGAATGGTTGACTATCTATGCTAGTTAGTACTTAATGATATCGTAATCTCCAATCAGCTTAGCCGATTCAACCATTGAACGTTTCCTGCATTAAGCGGTCTTTTCTCTATATGGCCGCCACTTCTGTCTGAAATACTGTTGATAAATTGACGTTTGTGATCTAGATAGATAGCAACTTTTTGCATAGGAGATCCTTTCTAAGAAAGTATCGCTATTGGTATTTGCTAGTATCCTCGCTTCTTAATCAAAATCCAATAGTAATACATCCAATTCCGATATCCATAACGATGTTATGAAGTTTCAACTCTAATTAATTCATTAAGATACAATCAATCAGAATAATGGCTAAATTCATCAAATCTATATGATAAACAAGCGACATGTTTGTACGAACAGCGGTACCCAATTCATAGCTTATGTG